CGGGCTGTGGCCCCTTAAGTAAACCACCTGTTTCGTCTGGGCACCCAGGCAGTATCACAGCCCTCATATATATCAAATGAGATCTGTGTGGCGCATATGTATTTGGTGCCTCCTTTTACCAATATCTATGTGTTAAAATAAATAAAATAAAAAATGAAGGAAACCCAAAGAATTTCATATTCTTGTCCTTTTCTTTTTAAGCAATAATTTTTATTACATAATAATTCTATTTTATTCATTTATTCGAAATCTTTATTACAATGTGACAATGAGAATGTATTATGTAGAATCAGTCAATTATGACAGTTTCAAGGCATGAATAAAACACAGTAATATTTATATTCTATTCTAAATCTCAATTTAATCACGAGTTTTATCATTTATAATAAGAATTATTGAGATATATAGAAAAAGGGATAGTTTAAATATGAATAGGATAATAATGAAACATTTTGATTATCAAGTGTTTCGACATAGAAATTGTTGTATACTATCAGGTGTATATTGTGATTTTCATAACCGGTGTGTAGTTTGAGTATAAATACAATTAATAGAGATATTATAGAACTAAAAGCGAAGTACTTTCAAATCAAATATTGTTCATATAATTAGTTTAGAGGTAACGATTCGCTAGAATAAATAGATCATACCACAACCGATACTGTATTCGTCAAGCGTTAACTCATGTTGAGGTACTATTAGGAAGCATGAAGCATTAGAAAATGGATTAGTCTAAGTATAAGACACATCATCAATGCCCATCAAATATCTCCTTAAAGAGTAATACCTAAAACTTTCAAGAATCGTCTTAATCTTTAACCTTCAGATCATTAGGTTACCATTCAATCGTTTATATGTCTAACTTTAGTGAATTTGTGATATCATGCTGCTGACATCCATTGTCATTGTGAATACCTATGTTAGGTTGAACTCCATTAAACACGGGTTGTTACTAGGTCTTCGTAAATTGCCTCATCGAATTGGTTAATAGAGAGTACATGATTAGCATTGGTAAATGGGGTTTATGGAGAATGTTATATTTCGTAGACTCACGAATGCAAGTTTGTACGTAACATTCATAGAATTATTTAGTTTATCATTAAATAATCATCCTGTAGGTTACTATTTTGTTTATTTTACGAATAATCAATCTAATAACTTCACATATATACTTGCGGTTTAGTTAAATTAACTTTTATTGAGATTTCGCAATTTCAAAGTTAGCGTCACGAATGATCTTAGCAGAACATCACTGAAAACCGGGAATAAGTAGAGAGCTGCTTCATACTCGCATTGGACTGTTCAGCAGCACGCAACAATTGGATGCTGGCTCAGTGTTTTAGAGATTGAGTATTTGAGTGAGACTGAATTTCATATATTCTTCCGATGGTGACAGAGTCATGGATGTGCACTACTAAAGATTCGTGTACTAAGACAAAATTACTATCCGGGATTCCCTGGTTTTCAGTGATGCTTGATTCAGATCATTCTACTGTGTTAAGTATTAAGTTATAATAATATTTGACGAGAGTATGAAAAAGTAAACATGTGAATAGCTAAATTAGTAAACATGTGAAATATTGTATTGGATTAATGGGAAGAATAATAAAGTCTATTATAGTATCAATTATAAATTAGAAAATGAACAATAAAGGTATTACTGTCATTAAATCAGGAATGAATAACCTTGAAGCACTGGACAGACATTTCACCATAGTATCAGACTCCCCCAATGCTTCCAGGTTTCTATTAGTTGTCTGACTGAAATTGGTTCATCATTTAATTGAAATTCAACAATTATCACTAACTCACAATGAGAACGGATGATGTTTGCAAAGGTTATTTGTCGTATAAACCTTTTTAAACATTTGTAGGATCATTCAAAATAGGAGTAAAAATGACGAATAGCTTCTGCTACTGTCCATTATTCTAAAACTCTATTGGGACCTATTGTATCCATGACATATATTTCTCTACGGTGCTACCTCAGGATTTGTGGATATTGATTGACATCATTTTTTATATGGGTCCAGAAACCCTTCTACATAAAACTTCATTCCATTGAAGTACTTGTAACCGTAGTTATAAGTATATAAGTAAAGACAATTGGAGTTAAATTTAAAAGGTTTTAGCACTTCATTAGACTGTTTGAGTAGAATTTTTGCATCACATGAAAATAGCTCAGTGCAATATTAAGTCTTGGTTGATTCCTCTTGAGAAAGAAGTTATACAATCACACTGTATTTAAAATCAGTGGCTGATTGTGAAATTTCATTTGCCAAATGAATGTACTTTTTAAACAACGTAAAGGACAAAGATTAAGAATAGTTTCCACTTTATTTTTTCTCAATATAGTCTTGTTACCTTTGATAATTGCATAACGACAAAGATAGAAATTCACTGACACATCCTGAATGTTTTTGTAAAAGTAGAACGAGAAACGTACCGACCTTCGTTTCTCGTGATCCTTATGTATATAAGCAGTTCATTCTAATTTAAAATTTTTGCTTTCATGTGACATAACTTCGACTGAAACTAATTGCGAACAAATCATTATCACTATTTTTCATAATCAATAAATATCTTGAAGCATCATGTAACATTTATTTATAGGTTGATAATACTCCATGTGTTTCTTGATAAGATAACCCGATATCATTTATACAATATAATCTATCCTAAAAGTTTAGTTACAAAGAATCTAGCAAGACAACCAGAGGGTCAAATTAAAATGTGGTAAATGATAGGCATTAATTTACTTTGAAGAGAAACACAATGTGACTCAGAGGTTAAGGAAGACGGTACAGAAAACGTAGCAACTGCTTGATTTTCGAATAATTACATTGATTATCCTTTTGTTCTTCTAATTACTCAACGTTAGTTTATAATCGATATGTCATTATATAATTATTACGTAACGTATCTACTCGATAAGTCTTACATATATGTATTAGTGTAGTGCCATGATGAAAAATTAAGAGGAAAGAAAATTCGGCAAGACTCTAATTTATGGACGACCTTTGGACGAATCTTAAGCGACCTTGAGAAATAATAGTCAACCAGCAAACAGTCAGTATAGAGTAAAAATATATTATACAAAACCAAGCAAATAAAGTGGATGTACTTCTTATACATGGTTCAAAAACTTGTCAAGGTTAGAAAGTGGTTCAGAGGTTGTAAAGTCGTAATGCGTGCAGTAGAGGAAATCATCCATACGGCTACAGAATAATCGGCCTCTGTAACCATGATAAGGTTTCAAAAACTCTATCAGCCTCGATCACATAGCTTCAATATTGCTTATGTGCATTCCGGTTGTTGAGTGCACAAAATGCTACTTGTGGATAACGATATGATGCACATAACCGAGCCTATGTAGGAGTCAGTACGCTCTCCAAACATCCGTATATATTGTAGTACCTGGCTGCAGCCAGTGTTACTGGTGCTTTTATTATCCAGTTGGCGATAATTGTCGTAATTTGCCTTAGTTAGGAATTATATGTGGGGTTTTCATCACGAACTGACATCAGCTATAATGCCAAAAACTTATTTATTAAAATCCGAGATCTATTATCTTATACCTGATTGTTTCGTCCACAAATTATAGTTTCGCCGTTTTATTTGCTATAACCGCTCAATTATCACGTTTTGTACAAAATTTCCTGTGAACCGGTCGTACGTTAGTATTAAGCACTGAAGTTGGCGCCGTAACCTTGAAATCTCTAAAACGTTTCTGATTGGCTCGTCCATTAATTAGAGTCTCGCCGAAATTCCTTCTCTCAGTTCATTCTATCTTTATTGACTACGACTTTAAAACTAACTGTATATCCTTCCTTCCTTTATTTATATACATTTGAATATATATTATTTTCCTATTAAAGTATAAATGTACCATAAAAAATATTATCATTGACAGTATGTTTCATCAATTCACTATAAAGATTTCTAATACTAATCACGTGTACTTACTCATTTATTCATTAGTTATACTGATGAAGAAAACTATGTCATTAATGTAATATACTACAGATATATACACAATAGAATTGAATTCTAAAGTTAATACCATTATGTATTGTATACAAAAATTCTCCTTAGAATTATCACATATCTGTATGTATAGTTACAATTATATAAATCAGTACAAACTCAGTAGGAATAAGTATGTTGAAGGTAATAATCATAATAATAAGTACTATTATTATTATTATTATTATTACTACTACAGTTTTTACAATCATCTAACTCATTATGACCTGTATTTGTCATAAGTATTTAATAATAAACTGTCAAATGGTATTGTATGTTTTACACAGTATGTGATTAGTATTTTACTTTGTCTTTCTTCTTTTCTTTTCTTTCTATTTAAGTTACCAATCTTTTTTTCCTTCTTTCTTTCTGCTATTCTATCTATCTTTTCTTTTTTCTTTCCTTTTTTCGTTCATTTTTCTACATAATCCAATCATTAAGATGAATTGGGTTTTTTTCTTCATCTTTATATTAATAATGAATAAATTCATAAAAATAAAAAAAATTAATTTTTTTCTTTTACATTTTGATCATAGCAACTATTTTAACCAATAGAAAATGAATGAATGAATTAGATCTTCTTCTTTTTAATCACGTGAAGCCAATTATAGAATAAAGAAACACACATATCCAATTTACTAATAGTAATGCATCATAATAATAATAGTAATGATTATAATAACCTTGTGTTTAGTAAATTGAACTATTTAAATGGAAATTTTATTTTTAAAAAAAGTGACTCAGTTGTTTATTTGCTTTTTTTTTCGTAAATTCATTAAGTAGTAGTCGTGGTGATAATTATGATTATTGTTTATTCAATATTAATTGTTGATTATAATAATGAAAAGTATTCAATGAAATCCATTAGTTACTATGGTTTTATATTTTTTGTTTTTTGATTTCCTTCATTCTGTTTCTTGTTTTTTTTTCTTTTTTTCTAAAGATATAATCATAGTAATAAGTATTAATTGAAGATGATTAATGAACGTTTTAATCAACAAGCTATACGGGAGCATAATCGGTAAGTGAACAGTTAATTTGATATTTTATTACTAATATGTATATATGTATATGAACAGTTTGGTGACTGTCTACTTTAACATTATTAGTATTAATATCAAATGGGTTAACCAGTCTATGAATATTTCTGTTATTCTGAGGTTAGTGTGTCAACGTGGTTACGTCATTTTTTCTACAACAGTTAAGTTAGACATTAACACCATTGGATGCTGGCTCAGTGGTTTAATGGTTAAGTGCTCGCGCGCGAAACCAGTAGGTCCTGGGTTCGAATCTCGCAAGGGGCGAGGTTGTGGACGCGCACTGCTGAGGAGTCCCACAATAGGACGAAACGGCCGTCCAGTGCTTCCAGTTTCCTATGGTGATATAGCTTCAACTGACTCATGAAATTATCAGTATTACTATTAGCTTTATTCAATATTATATGTTTAGTACAATATAGAGGTATTAGCACAATGTATTTCAACAAGTTACGTTTTCTTATTTCTTGATTAAACCCAACGATAACTATTGAATGATCACCAGTTAGATGTTGACAGTTCAGGAGTCGATATCTCAATAATGTTCATTCTTTTTGCTGTATATTGTCAGACACTATGATGTCTCTGTTTGTACATTTTTTATAAATTATAAAGCGAAAGATCTTAAACGTTTTACAAACGTGCTTGAATGGTTTATGTGATTATTAGACATAATGATGTATTAAAACAAAAGAAAGCAAATAACTTGTTGAAATATCTAAATGATAGGAGCAGGTTGAGCAGATATTCAAGGAGGTTTCCTATGAAGTTTACTTCTATGAGCTGGGATGTTTAATTGTAAAGATTCTGACTTCTACTCGAGATTTATGCTAATAGTAATAATAATATTGTCCAGAAGAGTAATGGAAACTTTACAACTAGAAAAATCCAGCTTAGAGAAGTAAACGCATTTAGAATTAATCACCAGAGTTACAAATATTCTTTATTACATTATTAATTGGTAATTTTTCTTTGAGAGATAACAACAAATCTAGTGTAGAATGTTAGGTTTTATCGGAATGCTATTAAGCGTCATTATCTAAGTAACAGTTTTTAGTAAGACTTAACAGTATATTAGTTTCTAACTATTATCTTGATAGAATACTATAGGACCGGTCGGTTTTTCATAAAGATAATATTGAATAAATAGTTATAATGCACTGGAAACTAATTTCTATATTACACACTAACCAGTATATGAATATTTCTGTTATTCTAAGAGGTTAGTTTGTCAACGTCGTTATGTCATTTTTTTTTACAATAGTTAAGTTAATCTTTATTTAATAGGAACTAATTTAATCAATTTTTATTAACTAAGGTGGTAAATTCTCAGCAAAAAGCCGTAGTAAGGAAATCATATCAACAAATAGTTGTCTTTTAATTAGGATAGTAATACGAAGTTTGTTTATTCAGGAACGTCACACGAATTTCTCTGTTGTCTTCCAGCAGCAATAGGTTGATCAGTAAATGAATCACTGTTGTATCGCATCTGATGAGCTGATGAATACATTGGGTATCTATTTCTGTTACAACTTAGTTATATAGAATGATGTTTGAATAGATCTTTTTTTTTCTGCCCAACATGAGCTTATACATTTCACTATATTGAATCTGATAAATGTTTACGGACATTTGCAGAATCCACAACTTCAAAAAAAAAAACATTTTTATTAAAGGTTTGAAATAAAATCATTTTTATTTTATTTTCAATGAGGCTACGAATTAGTTTTAATTGACCAGTCTTAGTGACTTACCGGAATAACCTCTGAAGTACAAATCATCTAGAAGAATGGATAAATAAACGATTTAAATCTTCCATAAATTCCGTATCATTTTAGTTGTTCAGTAATATAATAGAAGGAATTTTAGATATTTTTTTAGAAATCTTTATGTAATTGCAAGTAGAGAGGATTAAAAGCTTATCATAATATTGTTCCATGCAATTAGTTCCCTTAATGAATTTAAATATAAGGCCAGAACGAACATGGATGCAGAATAATATGTATTCATTATATTTCGTGGTTTCACATCAGTTGCTTACGTCTAAATATGTATTAGATTTTTACATTGAGGGAAGATATAATGTGGAATAATTGACATAAGTGAATGTAATGAATACGAATGGCAAAGGTTATCAATAATAACTATATATAAATATGTGCAAGAACAGGTCAGAGGTTATTTAATGTTAGAAATAAGAAAACATTAGGAAAGTGTGATGTAATAGTTGAATGAAGTTCAGTGACAGATAAGATAAATTATGTAATGATTTTAGAGGTAATGAAGGAATTAAAACAAAACTGGTAAGACGGGTTACATAATAACTGAATAGGATTTAAAGAGTTTTCATAATTTATGAGAATCAAGTGTGTTTAAAGCAAATAGTCCCTTTTATAAATCTCGACAGAACAATGAGAAGACGGAGTTGATCTGAAAAACGTGATGTATTTGCGCTATACATTTCGAACAATCTGGTGTGTGGGAATGTATGAGTGAAGGTGTAATTTAAGGATTCGGTAATGGAAGAGAAATATAACAAACTAAACATTAACGAAATAGAACTAATGACCAAAAATTGAATTACCAGGGTAGTAATAGGTTTATTATTATCTGTCTTTGAATACATAGATCAGGTTTGAGTTTTTATTGCAATCGCTTTAGCAAAATGGATGGAAGTAGTATTTCTTTACCTGCTAATCATATTAAAAGCATAAGGAATGTTAACGGTATGCCCGGTGTCATGTAAATGCCGACCTATTGCATTGTCAAGGGTCCATGTAAACTATTTAAACCCTATTCAATTATTATGTAACCCATCTTACCAGTTTTTTCAAATTTCATAAATCTCATGTAAACCCTTCATTACTTCTAAAATTATCACATAATTTATTTTATCTGTCTCTGAACTTTACTTAACTATTGCATCACCCATCCTCAATGTTTCCTTAATTCTAACATCAAATAACCTCTGACCTGTCCTTGCACATATGTATATATAGTTATTATTGATGACCATTATCATCCCAATCTTGTACATTCACTTATGTCAATTGTTCCATACTATTTCTCATCTCAATGTAGAATTCTAATACATATTTGGTTGTAATCAGCTGATGAGAAACCACGAAATATAATGAATTCATATTATTCTGCATCCATGTTCGTCTTGGCTTAATTCAAAATAATACTAATTAATAGACTATAAAATAAGCATGACTTTTGATTTTCATTTCGCATAACACTTTACAAGTTTTAAATTTATCTAAAGTTATTTTTCTGCAAACAATGACGTTAGTTAAAGATGTAATTCAAAACTGTTCATGGTGGATTTTACAACTCTTAGTTTGATCATCTAGATCTGTGATCACTACCAATTCTTTTATAACATTAATGTACATAGAAGTAAATTGAATATTCAATGAGATAATGATATAAAATTTATTTGATAATATATACCATATATAGGTTCTTGATTGAGGTCATGAACCGATTGATGTTAGACCACCATTGATCTCAATCAAAAACTTAACAATCTCCACAATCCCTAAACTGATATTTTGGTTCATTGAAATAAACAGTGGTATTTTCAATACTGTTCATTCAATATAATTCATTCTAAAATTGGATATATACAGTTATCATTCAAATTGAAATATATCTGTTATGGTTTATATTTGTACGTTTATAAATTCTACCAACTTGTGTTTCCACATGTTGTCTCGGATGCAGTTTTTATACGAATATATGAATATATTGATATAATAGCTGATATGAGTTCCATAGTTTTCTAAGCGTAGAAATGGTTAGTATTATTATTATGATTATTAGTGACTTTATTCAATATTATATTTTTGGTGTAATTAAGAATTTTCAGCCTAATGTAATTCAACAAGTTTCCTTTTCTTATTTCTTGGTTGATCCTTGAGATAAATATTGAGTGGTCCCCAGTTAGATGTTAGCAGTTCAGGAATCGACATCTGATTAATGTATATTCTTTTCGATGTATATTGCTAGTAACCACAATGTTTCTAATTGTGCTCTTTCTTAACTGAATAGATTATGCGATTAATAGGCATAATGATCTGTTAAAACAAACAAGAAAATGGATAACGTGTTGAAACGTCTAGTTGGTAGCAACAGGTAGTCCAAATATTCAAGCAAGCTAACTTCAGTGGTGATATTTTAGATGTAAAGTAAGGAGAAGGAATCTCATATAAGAACAAAGCATCTGTTCAACGTACCATGATATAAGTAGATTTATCACATTAGATTAAATCATTTCATAAATTAATTTCATAATGGTTAAGTTGTGAAAATAATCCTACTTTCTCAAGTTAAAACTTGGGTCGTTAGTAATTTACGGATATTCGAAAGTTGAATTAAATTTTTGTTTCATTGTACTTTCTTGAATGAATAAGTTGTATCATTTGTAAAAATCCAAACTATCTATAAATATCAGTTTAGGGGTTGTGGAGGTTGTTAAGTTTTTGATTGAGATCATGAATCGATTGATGTTAGACCACCACTGAAAACCTGGAAGCACTGGACGGCCGCGTTCACGCGCGAGACTGAAGGCCCTGGGTTCGAATTCTGCGAGCAGGATCGTGGATGCGCACTATCTCTAAATAGTTTGATGAATGATTCTATCTTTGAAAGTGATTAGTAAGTAAGCAACATTTATTAGGAATGTTAAATTCATGCTGAAATCTTTGAAATATTAGAAACTGATTTCATTCGAATTATTGATTTTAAGAAAGAAAGTTCTAGAAGAATAAAATATGAAACCCAGATAAATGATAACACTAATACTTAATGTTATCAAATGATTCTATTAGGTTAATATGGAATATTATTTGTATCATTATATTAATGTAATATAAGGTGTAATTTAAAGACAATCTTTTGAGTAGATGAAGTGTTGGTATAGTAGCTTTCAACTCATAGATTCAAACACAGCTCTATCTTATTGAATTCCAGTCCCTGGGCACTATTACACAAACTATGTAGCATAAAGCTGAGCACATGAATCTACTCACTATAAATAGGCTATATTATTGTTATTATATTATGTTAATATTAGTAAGCTGATGCATTCTATCCACACTAGTATGTTTTGTTCACCATTATTCTAATGGAGTTGCACCATATTATAAAAAATGCATATCTTGATGTATATAATCACTATCATGATTTCTAATTGAATAGTGTATTGTATAATATAATTATAATTTATATCTTATATTATTTAAAGACTTCGTTCTTTACATGGATGTGGTGAACTTCAATTAGATGAAGAATTAATGATTTCAGCACAAAAATGGGCCGAAAATTTAGCTGACGCTGAAAAACTATATCATAGTAATTATAATGATTATGGAGAAAATTTGGCTTTTAAAATGTCTGTGGCACCATGTCAAATAACAGGTAATAACAGTTTGTTATATGCACGGAGTCATATTAATTTAGAAGTTCTATTTTAAAACAAAGTGTGTACTGGATTTTGTTCTTATTCGTAACATGATATAAACTGTTTACACTTCGGACTACCAAAGTGTTATTAATAATTCATTTCAGAGATTCAGTAATGAGCGCTCTCTCGAAACTGTGTGGTACCTATAATAGAATCACTGATCGTAACTTGGAATGTCGATTTGATGGTTATTTTTGTTATAAACTATGGATTCTAGTTAAAGACTTTTAGACTTTCTTGTCTTCCAGATCTCCAGTTATCAAAGTGTTTATAATATCTCCATTCTTCCAATTCGATTTACAGTTGCTAACATATACCACTCTAACTGATTTTTGATCAAGTGCGTCAGTTGATTAGAATAATGATCATAGTTTCAGTCAAAATAATAGCAAATCTCGTCATCTGATATCAATCTTTAGTGAAATCTAACTTGAATTAAACTAGAATTCGCAAATCAGTTATTTAAATATCATCTACATAGAATAAATGGAATTTAGATAACAGTGGAATCCAGAACATGCATTTCTCCTTGTTTAAGACTTGTCAGTTGCATGTATCTGGGTGCCCACAGTCGATATCCACTACGGAGTTCTAAACCAGAGCCTTTTGCCTCGAATTGTTAACTCACCACTACTTAGCTAATGAGTCCAGGTAGTCGTCCTCTTGTGCAACGGCTATGAATTTTAATCCTAATGTTGAAATTATGAATTGAATTAAATTTGTTTTGGTTAGAATATTTGTAATTACTAACTTCTTGTGCTTTTAATGTAATTTAGACTATAATGAAGAGTTACCTCATATGCTACAACTATTTTTCTCCACACCATTCTGTTAGTTCCATGAGTTAGTGATCTATTCATGGTGATTCAATCACTGAATAGAATGAACAAATATAACTTCATGATATTTGTAAGGATTTATATGTTTCCTCTGTTGTTTATTAGGGACCGGAATTAGTAAGATTCCTTTCATACATGTGCATCTCGAAGAGATTGAGTTGTTTACAATTTGTCGGTGGCATATTTTTCTTATATTCTGCTTTTGAACGGCACTGAAATACATGGTGCTTATTTCCTCCTATCTGAAAATTCCCAGCTGGGTATCCTCATCATGACTCGAACCCAGTTTTTGTCCGTTAAAACATTAAAAAGTCATCCTAAAAGCTATCGAATCCGAATACTTACTAACTTAGTAGTTTATTTATCCTATGTTTAAAATATAGCCGTTGTAAAATACATCAAGTTAAAGGCGATAAACTCATAGTTAGTTGCTATTTATCATTTATTTGTATTTCTCAACCAATTGGTTCGTAAGGATTTATTACATTTAAGACCTAATATCATCATATATTGTCATCATATGGAAAGAAATTAAGACTTGGAGTCGAATAAACAGAAGTATTATCTCAGATTCAAAACTTTCCTAGAGTAAACACATGATGAAAACTACTCCATGACATTTAGTTCGCGCAATGAACATCTTACTATTCAGTTTGTTAGTATCAATACCAAGATTGGACTTGATATTTTCAAATAAATCGAGCATTTGATAGAAATTTAATAACTGTATATTTTTTTGTTATATCACAATGTTTCCTTTATTCTGAAGAAGTGGCTTACATTAAGTCACGAAACATCAAAAATACAATTTTCTGCTCATTGAAATATCGCCAAGGGTATATTTATCACCATTCAATTTTTCGATTTAATGGTTGTTCATCTTAAAGCAATCTTTAAAACGTAGACTCAATAATAATTATGTATACTCGATTATTTGTAGTAACTGAAACAGATACTTTATCATGCTATTCTGTTATTTAATAACTAGTTGTTAGATTCTTAGCTTTGGTGACAGAGTTTTAAACAGAGCCTTAATTCGATACAAACTGTTTAATGTAGAAAAATTAGATTAAAAAGACTAATACATTCACTTGGTATCGTTTACTTGAATCTTCCCATTGATGTTTAGAACTGCAATAGGTCAGTCTCTTATTGGCATATATGCATACTATGCGTATTGCCTCGATATTGTCTCTAGTTACAAGCATGCTAAGCAAAGATATATATTGACTTGTTGTGGAATGCAGGATACGCGCCTCGTTCTCATCAGTTGAATATACCTGCATAACAGGGTTGATGTTCCTTCAGGGACTCGAACCCAGTACCGATCGCATCATCTTCGCCCGATCTTTGACCATAATGCTTGTGAATTATGGCAACATCGAAGCAATGAGCACAGTATGCACATATGTTATTACCAGACTGATCAATTGCAGTCCTAAACATCAATTGGAAGATTCAAGTAAACAATACTAAGTGAATATAAACTTCACCATATTGCGCAAGCAAGTGGTTGTCAGGACCCAGTATCTAAGTGGACAACTCAATGGCATTTGAAGTGAACGATACTTGGTTCGAGTCCCAGAGTGAACATCAACTCTAAGATGCAGATACATCCAGTCGACGAGCCCCAAATAGGACGAAAAGCGAGTCCAGGGTTTCACTGCTAGCCATTATCCATCTTTGCTTATCATAACACATTGTAGATTAAATTGGTATTAATTTTTATTGGTCAATATTGAGAACAGTATACACTATTAAGAAATAGTTTTACTCACCTGATGTTGACCTCAAATTAATGATAGTTCAAATGATGAATGAATATTAATGTATTTTAATAATATGAATGACAGTAATGTAACATTAAATAGAACTTACTAAATAATGAATGTAATATGAATTGTCAAATGTTTTACAATGTAAACTTAATAATTTCTTTTTTAATGCTACAACTGTAAACTGTTATTTCTTGTAATTATTGATACTTCATTTGTTGTACACACGATTGTGGATTGTCCTATTGAAATGTATTATAGAAGCTGATCAAGTTGGTTTTAATGTTTACGTTACAGTTGGATCGATACTAGTGTAGTGAACGAGAACACCAATGGGGACAATTGAATTATAGAATCACTTAGTAAAACCTGAGAACCATACAATTATATAAAAAGCCAATCAATTGTTTCAGACTTCATTGTTCCTTCATTTACATACTAATCATTCTCTTTTCTTTGATCTTCTTAAACGTCTACCTCCAAGCATTTCACTTGAGATTGGTGACATATACTACTTATATCTGTCGACATCAGTAACACACACTACACTAGTATCAAATTGTAGATTAATGTTATAGATGCCTTTGAAAGTATTGGGTTTAAAAAACTTATACAAGTTAAAGATATAAATATTGATAACATGGGAGGTTTCGACTATAACCAATGAATTGTTAAGAAATTAATGGTACTGAATAAAAGTTATATTTTGTTTCTTGACCAGTGAGTATGCAGATACCAATTGGGACAGCTGAATTTCAGGTTTATCAGTTAGTATGTTACCTGAGTGATTATGACAATCAGAAAGAAGCTCTGGATCTAGATTTTTTTTCCCAGTCACCACTTATTCAATGAAAACAGTTGGTTGACTAATATCAAAGAATATGAAAACTAAGTCTATTCGGGTCTAATAATTTAATATATTTATATTAGATATTAGGTCTTAGTAAATAATAATCTACCTAATAAAGACCATTTCGTGATTCAAACTTACGTTAATTAAATAGTGAAATGTGAAGATCGTTTGAAGGTTTAGTAAAGGTGTGTCCAGTTACAATCCATCTTTGCTTATAATCTTTTACTATTATCCAACAGACCGGAAGTAAAAGGCAATATGTTTTCAGATTATGAAATATATTCTACAATCGTTATTTCTTTTAACTAAATATGCAGATCATTTAGTAACCAACTGAATATTATTATCATTTGTTTCTCATTATAATGTTTTTTAGGTGAAGAGGTTTCACAGACCTGGTATAGTGAGATTGACTATCATGACTTTAATCAATGTTATCATCCGAATTCACGTGAGTTGCAATGATCATAATAATAAATATGATACTGTGTCATTTGTTTAACCAGTTTCATGAATACTTTATGTTTACGCTAGATGTGTACGTGTTTTTCGGGAACTCTTAACTTGAAAATGAAAGTATCAAAGTTCAGTATAATAACATTGGGATTGAATGTACAACTACTTCTTCAACCTTCAAACTTTCTATCCTCGTATTCATTTAAAAAAGAAAGACAATTTATCTTGAGTGGTGAACATTTTGTACAAACAAAGTGGTTTGAATACGAAACTTTATTCTATAAAATGAATAGTCCTACGTATTGGAAATATTAAAGATCTTAATTAAACCATCTTAATTAAGTATAAAACAATTTCATCTTTTAGAGCTTCCCATTACTCAACTAATTCATATATAATGGTTGTTTGTATTTTCGATTATTGTTTAGGACTACAATTGACCAGTCTCTATTGGAATATTTACATCCTAAGAGGATTGACTCGATATTACCATTAATTTACAGTCATTTTAAGCAGAGATGAAAGGTAGTTAACAGTGGAATTCAGAACACCAGCTTCGTCGTACTTAGGACTCGTCAGCTGAATTTATCGGCATTTCAGAGTTGATGTCCACTCAGGGACTCCAACTATGTACCATATGATCCAGGTACATACAACTGACAAGTTCCAAATAGGAATTAACGCACGTCTTGGATTCCTATGTTAGCCACCATCCATCTCTATTACTCATTTAGTTTCGAGATATATATTAAGCATTAAACTCTACTTAAAATAGGAAAACAAATAGCATTTTATTACGTTCGTAAATAGCTAAATGTTTTAAACAGATAAGACATTATTTGAATGTGTTGAAATAATTCGATTGGTCCCAATGATTCAATTAAATGTGTTTCCTAAATTTAACCTGATGTTCAGCTTACTCATTAGTGTATGTCTGTTATTTGACTCTAACTGTCATTACTACACTAGTTCCGAATAATGAAGTGTACGGTCAGTACAACTGGTCAGGTATTCCAAGTCTTTTTTAAAATGCATTTAATACATCAGATTGGTGCAAAAAAAGTTGATAAAAATATCAAACTTTGATCTTTCACGTAATTTTTGTTATAAGACTCTATCTTCATCTTAAATGTACCGGAGTAGATGAAGAACATATTTTAATTACGAAAGGTTGTTGTGATACTAAACTGGATTTCATATTGATCATTTGCCACCAGACATTATACAATCATAGCTCTAATCATATATTTATTATGAATTGTTAAAAGGTCTAGCATTTTATATAGGATTCGGATAACAACTTACTCGTTACAAATAACATATGATGTGGACATTGGTAAGAGGCAGGAATAGTGTAAGTGTCTACGATTCCTTACATTGGCTGTTTTATTTTCGTGATTTGTACTTTTTTTTAACTAATGTCAGGCTACTCATATTAGCGGAAAAGTGTTCGAAAATAAGATGAAAAAAGGAATCCAATTTAAATGCTTCATGTCAAGACACAACTTGTTAACAAATTAAATCTCATTTTCATTTTTGATATTTTTAGGTCATTTTACTCAGATGATTTGGAAATCCACAACACATGCTGGATTTGGATTAGCCTTAAGTCAAGATCAAACAAAAGCATATGTTGTTGGACGTTATTTACCTGTAGGTAATAGAGGGGATTTCGGATGGAATGTACCACATTATCAAGGAGTTAAGAGATCTGGTAAGTTGTATATTTGAAATTATCCTTCTTATAACTTTAAATAAACTCTGAAAATAATGAAGATAATAGAATCAATTCAATGAGATTTCTTATGTGTTTTATAGTAATAGTTTTCATTCACAAACTGTTATCATCTGGATAATAATTATAAGCAGCTTTTATAATTTCTGCGCTGTGTCCTACTAATTGTATAACGTAATGATACCGCCAGTCAGAGGACAGGGAACTATCGATCGGACCAATGACGCATAAAACAAGTACGAGCAGTCTAGAATCCTTATCTGTCCTTCTTCCTGCCTAGCCCAGCCTGTCAGGTCCAGAACACCAATCTCAGCCTCTGTGATATGAATTATGTATTTCAAACATACTAGGTTTATATATCAACCAGACAAACCACATGGTACCATAAAATAGTAAACAACATTTGTACAAGATTTAGCCAAATGTAGCTCTGAATGTTGGAAATGCTAATTGGTAGACAGGGCATAACTCAAGAGTTGTAAATCGCATAATAATAGTTCATAGGTCAAACTAAAGCTCATAATAAGAAGAATACGAATATCTATAGTTTAATTAAAAATTATACAATAAAAATATACGTATAATATTGTTCCATAAATGGATTCCAAAAGTTACTATTCATTATTCTCATCGGGATATAACAGCAACAAATTACTAAACAATGACAAAAGGTGATACAGATTCATGGTTTTTTTATTATTCAGTGTGTGTTATTGAACAATACATATCACATTCGTTTCTAAGATTAAAAAGCTTAGATGAATAGTATTTTCACTGATTGAAATCATGAGTCAATTGAAGCTAGATCACCATGGAAAACCTGGAATCACTGGACGGCCGTCTCATTCTAGTATGGGACTCCTCAGCAGTGCGCATCCACGGTCCCGCATCCCGCGAGATGCTAGCCCAGGACCTACTAGTCTCGCGCCAGGCGCCTAACCAAACAGACCACTGAGCCGGCATCCAATAGTGTTAATGTCTAACTTCAACCAATCTACGAAGTTGCGCTACCGTCCACCATTGTCTTCAGTGAGTTGATATCTTGCAACAGACCTGGTTGAACTTCACTGGTAACGGCTTCTCACCAGAACTTCATGAGTACCTCTTGAAGTCAGTCACTAGTCCATGGTGGTCTAGCTTCAAATGACTCATGATTTCAATCAGTGAAATTTCTAAAATCTCCACAAAACCCCTTCTGCGAATAATATTTTGTTTTGTTAGTGAGTAATTTAGTGAAAGTATATACTCTTAAAAGCTTTGAATGACTTGATTATATTTATAATACAACATTGATATGTAGTATTATATTATACATAACAATCCATTGTGAATATTACATAAATGATAAAGGAAGAATGTATTTGTATCTAGGTACCTATTTATATAATCGATGAATTTGATGTTTGACTAAATTTCCTTGAAAACGTTTAAACCAGATTGTTAGGCAAAACGTTGGATTTACTTCAAGTTCATTCGATGAAATTTTACAAATACATTCTTCCTCTTTAATGTCTCATATCAACTCGATGCTTAAATACTGTGAAACTGATTCGATCAACGTCAGATGAAAGTTCTTATGTAATATTACGTAAATGTTTTATAAATCTTTCTTTACCTTTGTAGCAATTTTTCCCGAACAATTTATTATTACATAAAAATTGCATAACAGTCATGCTTTTTTTTCCAGTATACTCGAAGGGCTTGAAGTTTTATTTCACAGCATTTGATCTCTTATAATAATGCACTGTGAAATGATGAATTAATTTTTGTGACTAATTGTGTAACATATTTCAGCTTCACCTAATCAATATTTAAATGAAAATCAAGATTCATTTTGAAGTTAGCCCAACACTTTAGTGTGTAGTGATTAAAGAGAATTCAAGGAAATTTGATTCAACAGTCAGCATCCACGACCTAAGCACTGTCAAGAAATCTCACAATTGAACAGACCGGCCATCTAAAGCTTTTAAATTTTTAATGGTGATCTATCTGATATTAGTTTGTGACTTAAATTGTAAAATTTATTTGTTCTATTTTAAGCATAGTTGAGTAGTAGCTAGCAGTAGAATCTAGGATACACGTTTCATCATCATCATCATCATCATCATCATCATCATCATCAGTACATTCACATTTGAAGCGAAAGTTATTAAGTTCTAGTTTCAGAATGAACATCAACTGTGAGCTGCAGGCATATCACAATGGCTAATCTCACAAAGAATGAAATATTCATTCACTACTACTCACTATCCAACTTTACTTTCAAATGTTTTACATCGGATAGTAATGTTAAGGTCATCTGTACAATATACGCATAATCAAAAAAGTTACTGATCAATTATAACCCATAACTTCAACAATAGCAAAATTCAACTAGTTACAAACGAATTACATTTGTTCTTCGCTTATATGTTTATATATTTACATGTATGTTGTTTCCTTTTTTTCCTTTTTGTTACATGATTTGCTTCCATAGGTGACAATGAAAGTAAATATTTAATTTTTAAAATAAAATATGATAAATCTGTTTGAATTAATATGCTATTCCAATTTGACATGATGTTCATTGTGTATATGTATGTATTTATTTATTAGTAAATAATTAAATGTAATGGTCATTATCTAAATTCGAATGTAATGGGATATATAACCTAAAATAATATATACAAGTCCCATACTAGAATGAAATAGCCATCCAGTGTTTCCAGGTTTTCCATAGTCGTCTAACTTCAATTGGCTTATGAATTTGATACGTCTTGTTTTGTTTAAATGCTACTTTTTATATCTGGTCGTCGCTGGCTGTTGTGTTGGAAACATTTAACAATTATACCAGTATTTGTGTTCTTACTTTCAAGTCGTGAGAATTGCAGAGGTCCCTTGTTTCGAGTATAAGTGACAAGCCTTTCCAACATAACAATTAGCGACGAACTGATATAAAAAGTAGCATTCAACCGACAAGACATATTGGCGATGGGGTGAAAAAAACGAGCCAAGACAATCAGTATACAGATTTGTCGTTGGTGTCTTTGAACGATATTGGTTGTTAATTTGTCATGCTGTATTTTCTATTACCGTACTGATTCATCCAGAAAGAGAAAATGTCTCTCCCTTCTAATTAATTACAGTTGCTATTTCAGTAACAATAGCAATCATAAAATTACTAAAATCTCCACGAAACCCCTTTTGATATTATACGAAAATAATAAGAAAAAACATGTTTATTTTGTAGGGAAATAATATTTATCGATTGTTTACTACTAGACTGATATGAAGTACATTTGCGGTGCTTAACAATTATCAGTTGATATGTATAATGTTTGCATACAGTTGTAAATCCTAAAAAGATGAATTTTTTTTTAGAGATTTTGCGTTCTCCGAACTAGACGGTATAGTTATGAAGTTATTATCTTCACTTTAGCCATTCTCATAATTAAAACAAACACATTATTGTTTCTAAGGTTTATATTGATGATTTTTGTCTAGAACAATAATAAAAGCTTCATAACTAAATTATCCAGATCACAGGATACAATGTTTTTAAAATGTTTGACCAAGTAACCGAATAATGATTGATTTAATGACCTGCAAATGATCGCAAAAGTTACAAATAAAATACAGTTAGTTTTCCTGGAAAATGGTATTTTAAGAAAAGTTTCATTGTAAAGAAGCAATGAAAATTATAGCTTTCCCAAATGCAAACCAAAATCAATACACAATACGGACTTGTAATATCAGTTATTGACAACAGTAAATTCTTAGTCATTGAATTCATGAGTCAACGTAAGCTAGACTACCACTGAAAAACTGATAGCAGTGGACGGTCGTTTCGTTCTACTATGGGACTCTTCAGCAGTGCGTATCCATGACCCAGCATGAGAGACTCAAACCCAAAACTTTCGGTCTCATGCGCAAACGCTCAACCTCTAGGCCACTTGTTTGGTATCCAACGATATTATTAGTTAACTTCAATTGATTCATGATATTGTGAGACCATTCATTGTCTGAGGTAGATACCTTTCTTTATCCGACACGGATTGGAGGAATTTCATACTAGGAGGAAATGGTTGTCCTGTGCTTCTAAGTTCACATTGGTGATCTAGCTTACATCGACTCATGAATTCAACCATTACAATCATTGCAATCTCCACAAACCTTCATTCTATGAACAATAAATTCATTAATGGTTTATTCTACCAGTCTGAATTATTCCAGTTCAATATACAATTTTGAATTGTGTTCTTAGTTTCAATGTATATAAGAATATTATTTACACTTATTTATGTAGTTGTTGTTTTAAAATTATACTGTACATAATTGTTACACAATATATTATCATGAAAACTCATGACATAAGATTTATCGATGATTTGAGCCAAATTAACACACTTCGTTCCTATCGGTTGAACTTTTTGTTCTTCTTGTAAATAAAGAATGATTAATTATAATATATCTCATTTACAGGCCGGTATACTGGTAAGTTTTGTTTCACACCTAACTGTTGAGTAAATCTTAACCTGAATCCAACTGTCTTACTTACGCCTGTTGCTCCCAATGGAACATAGGCCACTGACCAGCATTCTCAAACTCACTCTGTCCTGGGCCTTTCTTTCCAGTTCTATCCAATTTCGTTCATTTTTCTCATGTCCGTCTCCATTCCTCGACTGACTGTGTTCTTTGGTTTTCCTCTTTTCCTCCTTTGGTCTTGCGGGTTCCACGTGAGGGCTTGTCTTGTGACACAGTTGGGTGCTTTCCTCAATATGTGTCCTATCCACTTCCAGTGCTTCTTTCTGATTTCTTCCTCCACTGGAATCTGGTTTGTTCTCTCCCACAGTAGATTGTTACTGATAGTGTCTGGCCAACGGATTCGAAGTATTTTGCGTAGATATTTGTTAATAAACACTTGTATCTCCTGGATGATGGTTTTCGTAGTTTGCCAGGTTTCCGCCTCATACTATGAAAGATATTGTCGTATCGAAATGATCAAAAGCAAATTAATGATATTTAATATATGAAGTTATCAAAGGCAATAAGTTGTTTTAGTCTTTTTCTTTTCTAAACTGAAATACACTACTCTCTTAAAAGTAATACAGATAGGTTTTTATAAAACAAGTGGATAATTTCAGTAATGCAAAATCGTATGATTCTTTATTTTTCTAAAATAAAAACAAAAAAACTTTATTTAAGTAATAACCAATAGCCAATAGAATTACAATATTGACGATTTAAAATATAAATTATAAAAAAAACATTTTCTATATACTTCCGTATCCAAGAGAATTTGGATTCATTTTAATGTTGGTTATTTATTCCCTGAAGAAGTGGGTGAAGTTGAGTTACGAAACGTTAGAAAATCTAATTTTGGAATATTACAAATATTGTGTTTCTCTTTTATTTACTTCTTCATGATATATATTTTTCAGTTTAGGGGTTGTTGAGATTGCTAAGTTTTTGATTGAAATCATGGGTTGATTGAAGCTAGACCACCATGGAAAACCCGGAAGCAGTGGACGGCCGTTTTTCTAGTATGGGAGTCCTCAGCAGTGTGCATCCACGATCCCGCACGCCGCGAGATTCGGAAACAGGACCTATCAGTCTCGCTTTTGGCGCTTAACCAACTAGTGACTAGCTTCTTGAGAAAATTCTTTGAGTTCTGGTGAGAAGCCGTGACCAGTGGAGCTATTTCGTGTCAGGTAGAAACAGGTGTCTACCTCAGTACGATGGAAGATGGTCGAGCAATCTCGTGGATTGGTTGAAGTTAGACATTAACATCACTGGACGCCGGCTAAGTGGTCTAGATGGTTAAGCGCCTGGAGCGAGACTGATAGGTCCTGGGTTCGAACCTCGCAGGGTATGGGATCGTGGATGAGCACTGCTGAGGAGTCTCGTATTAGGATGAAACGGCCGTCCAGCGATTCCGGGTTTTCTATAGTGATCTAGCTTCATTTGACTCATGATTTCAATCAATATACTTTTTTGTTCATCAAGGTGATGAGGATGAACGGTGTTATAAGATTGATATTTGAATACTTTTATCATTTAGCGTTCCATGCTATCTGTGTTTTGTTTTTGTTTGTTTTTTCGAGAAAATACAAGAACAAAGCACTTTTGTAATATGTTATTTACTCAATGATGATTATAATTACTTAGGATGTTTACAATACATAATGGTAGTATTATATAACTAAAGGTTTTTTATATGCTTCTTGGACTTGTAATGTCGGTTACTATGTTAAGTTCACATAGCTTATTGTAGCCTTTGGACAGCCCGATTTATCTATTTTTCTTGAGTCAAATTTTCACTTTTCTAATTATTCACTTATCAACCTTGACTGTTTTTATATGAGGGTGTGTGTACACTTCTCATCATATTCATCACACGTCTTCAACTTATTTTTGTGTAACTATAAGTATTGATTAACGCCTGTCGAAATGCAGTTGGCTCACACGCCTTCTCCACTGCGAGTCATTTCGCTTCGCTCTCTTCTATTCGCTTCATCCTTCTGATTGCCTTTCCAAAACAATGAGCGTACGAATATATACGTATTCAAACATCCATTCTCGTATTTGAGTTATTTCATTCCGTTATTGACTAACGAGATTTAAGTCGATAATTATATACGAGAATAGTCAGGATATATATTTTGACAACAATCATTCATACGATTTAATCGGAGACAGATTAAGGGCTACCAAAGATTTATACACTTTGATTTTATTTTCATCGATTTAAAGTTACTTTATTAAGTTAATGGGATGGATCTTAATAATTATAATTTCTTTCCAACGTTTTGCTGGAAAAATATTTTTAGTTGACTGTCAAACAGAACGAAATATCTACTCCAAACATTTTAATGTCTATACTTAAAAATGAACAGGAATGTCGACTACGTATTCAATGTCGTTAAGATGCTAGTTAATGGTTCAGTTGTTTGTTGTTTTTCTTCATCGACTGGTGAATATGATCATTGTTAAATTAAATACTGATAAATGATGCCAGAGATTAACTTCATTTTCAATGGTTTTATCAGTTTCATGTTACATAAAGCATCAAGTTATTCTGAGAATAAATCTAAATGAGATTAACCAACTATTTACACGATATAAATTAATAGTCGCGGATCATTTCAAATAGTATGATATATTGACTAACTGAAAATTTTCTTAGTTTCCTGATATTTTGTTTTGTGTCACTGGACAAAAATGTACATAAAGTTTCGATTAGTCAACAGTGGATTGTAAATATCTGAAATAAAGTTACTACATTTAACTGAAATCATGAACTGATCTAAGTTAGACTTCAATTAAAAACGTGAAAGCACTGAACTGTCGTTTCGTCACAGTATGTAATTCTTTAGCGGTACTCATCCACGATTCTGCACACAGCAATCAACTTCAGGACCTTTGGTCTCACACTTTACTCTTAACTTCTGCACCACTGACGACGATATTAATGTCTTTAATCAATCCATGATATCGTGTGGTCATCTTCCATTGTCTTCAATGGGTAATTGTCTCACACCCGACATAGATTAACTCTACTGGTCATGGTTTCTTACTAGAACGCAGGAAATTGCATTGTATTCATTTATATATTAATATTACTGTTAAACTAATGACAATGAAGTAAACTGCATTGTTAAAATCTATTATTTTTAAAATGACAATGTTTAGCAGATGGAGGAAGTGCAAGATGTGAGTATATGTTACAACTGATTCAGTTATTTCATTTTAGTTTATTATCTCTATATTACAATCATATTTATTATCTTAGCTTAGATTGATTCGTAAATATAAATATAAATGATTCATCATTTCATAAGAATCATCTATCAAAATATTCAGTTTAAGTAAATTATAATTAATCTGTAAACTTAACGTATTCATGTCACTTATAGATTGCAGAGATCTGTCGTTCAGGAAGATCTTGCTAAAATTACGCTCTGTATTATTAAGTTATTTAATATTTTGAGCTTTTCTTGTCTTTCTAAACCATATCGTTGGAGAAAAACCCCAAATATTAATAAACTATGAGAATTTCACCACAAGTGTTTAATAATTCCTTTTGTTGACCTTAAATAGTTGTCATCTTCCTTGTTAACGAGAATCCTGGTTTCATAATAGTTTGACTTATCTATTTGGTTGATAAATTGGATTGATTTCAATAATTTTACGGATTGTTAACTTAGCTGAATGTTAATTCTATAGTAGAAGGGTTTTTGTTGTGGATTTTGATAGTAATTTTAATAGTTGAGATCATTAGTCAAATGGAGCTTCTGTATTAATTAGCATATGACTGGCTTCAAGAGGTATTTCCTGAAATTCTAGTGAAAGGCAGTGACCAGTGGAGTTCAGCCGGCCTGTTATGAGATAGTAACTCACTGAAGACAATGGTGGACGGTGGAGAAACTTCGTGGATTGGTTGAATTTAGACATTAACACCGTTGGATGCAGGCTAGCTCAGTGGTCTAGATGTTAAGCGTTCGCGCTCGAAACTGATAGGTCCTGAGTTTGAATCTCGCGAGACGGAATCGTGAACGCACACCGCTGAGGAGTCCCAAACTAGGACGAAACGGTCATCCAGTGCTTCTGGGTTTTCTGTGATGGTCCAACTATAATTAACTCATGATCTCAAGTATTGAAACGTTATTTTAAATTTTTATGTGAAGTTATTTGTCATCTATTAATTAAGGAAAATATTTTTTAAGAACTAAAGCGTATGGTTACATTTCATATGAAGTACAAATAGGTAATATACAAAAGGTAGGTACAAATAAATTGAGGGTTATATTGGTATATATATATATATGCATTAAGTTAATGCATCGGGATTTTCTCTCAAATACACATTAGATTATTAGAATTGGAATAGATTACAGATTTTGTACTCTAGAACTATGATAGTTGGCTTAGTACACCATTTATTTTGTTTACTAACATTGAAAACCACTTAATACTAACATACAAGTGTGTTTATACATTGTACATAACTTTGTAGTAACATGTTTATAATGTAGAACATGGCATATTTCTACCTTATATTATTATCTTTTAACAGTAATAATAATATTGTTCATACCGCTTTTTGTATCTTGATTAAACAAGTGAATGATATTGGATCAGCAAGTAAGATCATTATTTTCATTTCATTTAATACTTCATATTTAAATAAAAATGATCATATCGGAAAAGATGAACAAAGATACATTTTATTATAATAACAAACATAGTGATGTATCATAGATAGTTAACTATGCAGTTAGCTATTTATATATACACTATAGTTTATTAATGGTGTACTAAATTCATTGTATTAACAATCAAAAAACACAAAAAAGAAAGTAGAATATTAAATTTTATTTAATAAAAATATACTTATGTATGTTCTTAGTTGTGTTGTTAAAGCAACTGTCATTCATCAACAAAAACAGTTGAATACATATATATGCATATCTATTTTGTCACCATTGAAATCACGAGTTGACCTAAGGTAGACCACCGTGAAATATTACAATCTTTAAGAATCCTCATACTGATACATATACTAGAACAGTTCAGTTTAACATCTTTTTTTTTCATTGAATCATTTGAGTAACAATGTATAGTTCGGTTTAAAAGTTGACCAGCTTAAGAATTGTCGACTATTAAGGAATTAAATCTATAGAATATTTATATTAGACGAATTGTAATGGATGTTTGGGATTTTCAAAGATACGATATCAAAAAATTTATTGATTACTATTACTAACACTATAACATTCGCGTTTGAGATGGTGGAGAAGATTTGTAGCTCAGTTAGATGATTTTGATAGAGTTTGGTTCTCTGAGCTCAGAGAAAAAATCTCCATCAAAAACATTCGAGTTACATAATAGGAAACAATTTAAGAAGATTAATATAATCAACTATTACTGTAAATTATTATATATAAAAGAGCTTTAGAGTGTCCTCTAATTGTAAGCATTACTGTTTTTTGGCTTATGATTATGTGAACAATTTAGCATCATTGTAAAATGTTGAAATCATGCGATTGTATGTATTTTTCAAGTGAAATTGGAAGGAAAAAAATGTGTTTAAGACCATATTGTAGCCTATTATATTAAAATATTAAATCAAACATTCGACTAATCGTAAACATACTGTGGCATGTGCTACTGATGTCAACAGATATAAGTAGTATGAATCACCAATCGAAAGTGAAGGTTGGAAAGATGGAAAAGAAGATAGCGAGAACAGAGAATGACTGATGTGCAAACGAAAGAACAATCAAGTCTAAGACAATCGAGTGACATTTTGCAAATGAATTATTAATTGTATGGATCTCAGATTTTACTAAATGATTCTGTATTATTATATTACATTCGATTGTCCCCATTAGTGTTCTTGTTCACCACAATACTATAGAAAGTGTATATATATATACACAACATTCTGTGAACATTTTTTTTCACCATTGGATTATGTTTACTACTGAAATACTTATTTACATTTATTTCAATGATTTTAAAATTAAAATTTAGTGAACATTATTTTCAGATAACGATACATCAAGAGGCAAGTTAATAAACTATATAATACTATCATTTGTATTCTCATTTTACAATGTTTCCAATAATGATAATATCATAATGTTCATAAGCTATATCCGGCTATTATTAAGGCTTTTATACTATGAATTTTGTAATTCAACTTTATGATGAAACATTTTTGTATTGTTTTTTTTATACACATAGTTCCTTTTATCATTATTGAAGGGAGCAAGAATAAAGATTCTAGCAGAATAGTGTGTATTCATTTTATTTCGTTGGTTCTCATCAGTTGTTTACAACCGTTGATATTTATAAATCATAATTATTTACATGAGAGGGTTTGGTTGGAAGTTATATTGAAGATACATTAGTATAGAATAGCAAGGGTGTAATTAAAATTAATTGATTGAATATTGTCAATATATACCTTATGTAAAAGAACATTCCATAACATTGATTGTAACAAGAGTTCAAAAGGCTAGAAACAAGTGATTACTCATTTAATTCCTATCAGTATTTACTCATTATGTAATCACTTGTTTCTAGCCTTTTGAACTCTTGTTGCAATCAATGTTATGGAATGTTCTTTTACATAAGGTATATATTGACAATATTCAATTTATGAAGTTTAATTACACCCTGACTATACTATACTGATGTGTCTTCAAAGTAACTTCCGAGCAAACTCTTTCATGTAAAGAATAGTGATGTTTAAATATCACAGATTGTAAACAACTGACATGAACCAACAAAATAAAATGAATTCATACTATTCTGCTAGAATCTTTATTCTCACTCTTTTCGTAATCACTATTTTGATATGTAATGCAAAGTATCATTTATATCAGAGACAAAATAATACTTCTCAATCTTTGTTCATTAATGATTTATATGAGAGGTAACCGTTAAGAACTATGTGATAGAACTATGAAAAATAAAATGATACACAATTCTAATTTGAATGACTTTGATTATTTCATTGAAGAGAGATAGGGATTGTAAATAGCCTAATTACGTTATTTGATTGACTGATTATGATGAGTGAAAAAAAGTATGCTAAAAATATCATATACTACAATAAATTGTAGTTATTTGAAAAGGGGGCACTTAGTAACAGAAAGCTAAGTTAGCATAATGAGTTCAAACTATACAAGAATATATTTATCTAGGGTTTAGAATTCAGATCAAGAATCTTTTCTAATTAGAGATAATTTCTGTCGACCATATCTGACAGGTTATTACTTGAGAAAATTATTCTTTTTACTTTGCTTCATGTGATAATAACTGGTTATTACAATGTACTAATATTATTATTACACCCACTGAATAATTTAGTGAACATTGGACTTAATGGCTCAGTAAATAGTGAATTTGTCAAGTGTATCGGGTTTGAATTAATGTGTAATAATCAACACAACTGGATATACATTTAAATAGTTAATTCTAAATAAAGTGAAATGCTAATCTTAAATTCTAATAGTAGACACTGTCCAAACCTATTAACCTTCCTATTCTTGAATGAATGGAATATGACTAGCATTGGAATCCAGGATATGCTTTTTGTCCTATTCAGTATCAGTCAACTCTATGTACCTCCATTCCAGCATTGATGTTCACTTCAGAATCCAACTATATTCAGCTTATTAGTCACAAATAATACAAACACATACATCATAGATTCCATTGCTAGTTAAATTCCATTTATTCTATATCAACTTGTAATTTCATGTCGGTATCAATTACACGATACTCAAATATCAACTAAGAATGATAAAATCTCATTAAGTAATTCAAACCATTTCAAATTGGATCAATCTTATTAGAAACTTGAATACCTCAAATGGTTACTTATCTATCTCTCTCTCTAATCTTTAGTAAAAGGCGAAAGATTTATCCGCAAATGAGGAGAAACCAGAGTAATATAATGCATAATCATATTAAGAATATAATTATTATACAATAATAAGCCTTTTCAAAGTATAAGTATAGAAATACCGAAAATATAATTATTCAATCACATGTTTCATTCTAATATAAACATTTAAACTAAAGAAATACATTCTTTATATTTATTTATTCATTATATAATGAATTTAATTTGTTGCTTATTACATAACTTGAAATGATTATTTTTGTGTTTTCAAATTTAAAAAAAGAAAGGAAAAAAAGGAAAAGAAAACTTCTGTTGGTTACTATGACAACTAAAAAAAAAACAAATAGTTGTCACATATAATATATACATACATAAAAATCTTAATAAATGCCAAATTAAAAAAAAATTATTATTATCACCATAATGAATTGAATAATTATCTGATTCATCTGTTAAGGTGTATCAGATTATTTAAATTAAAGAATAAATTGCCTGGATTTTTTTTATTTTTGTTTTATGAAGAACTAATTTTGTTGTTATTGTTGCTAATCATAAACAGTTTATCAATGAATGTTATAAAATGTCAAAGTGATTAGAAGTTGTATAGTGTTATTAGTGTGAAAGTAATCATATACGTGTCTTGAAAGTCTTGAAAAGATTTCAGTTATAATCATGAGGGTAGAATTGTTAAAACATATAAATATGGATTTTGAAATTGTAGCAAAGTACTTAATGGAATTTAACTACTCAGTAATTGAGTATATTCCATAAATAATACAATCTATCAATGTATGCATTCTATGTATAAACATTTTTTTCTATCTCATATTGAAACAAAGTAGTTTACTACATCATATTGTCGGATAGTTTGTTTGTTTTGATGAGAATAACACTTCTGGAATGGTTTCTTTTATTTTTTTGTAAAAGATCTATTTAGTAGTGTATTATAGCAACTCACTAACTGCTTAATTGATTCGATGATCCATTCATTTCCCTATATATATACATGTACATATACACTCTACAATCTCGGTTCGCTGACTCACTCATTCGCCTCATTGCTTTGTGATGTGAGTTATCTGCTAATAAAACTGTAGTCGCTGCTTCTCTCTGCCTTCTGATTTCAAATACCGTTGAGGATTATATGGTAATCGTTAGGAGGGTGATTGGTCAACGAAGCACAGTTACTACAGTATCCATGAATTTGGCAAATGTTACAAATGAATAGATGTTTATTTACAATTTTCCTTTCTCATAAATTACAAGGTTATACTAAAAATGATATAATAAACGACTTTACATTGAAATAATAATGTAGCAATTTTATCGTTGAGACTATAATTTATAGATGACCTTTGAATGACATTAAGCTGACTTTGAGAGTGTCCGCCTAACAGCTAGCATCAAATGAGGACTAAAAACCAGTGTGAAGAATTAGAATTATGATTTAGATTAGATTTATGGTTTTTAATCACGAATTGACATCAGCTATAATACCAAAATTCTAATTAACCAAGTGAATGAATTGGTTTCCCGCCAAAATTTGAAGATCGATCATCTTAAATCTGATTGGTTCGTCCATAAATTATAGTCTCACCATTTTATTTTAAATTCATTAAAACATTTACTTGTCTATATTCATAATTTCTATCTGGTTAGTTCAATGTTGACTCATAGCAGATATTATAACATTTATTTTGTTATACAACATGTACAATAACTGTTTGCATTCATTTTAAGTCAGTGATTTTTCTTCTAATAACAAATATCCAAAAGGATTAGTGTTCATTCAAAAGTTATAACAACATGGGGATAGAATAATGACAAAGATTCTCAGTTTATACTTTAAATAGAATACGAAATATACCTTATTAAGTTCATCCACTTATCTTAGATTAAAAAAAGATCACAATTGAAACCTAAGACAAATAATGAGGAGTCCTGTACTAGGACGAAACAGCCATCCAATGCTTTTAGGCTTTTCATGATGATCTAGTTTTAATTGACTCATGATCTCAACTACAAACTAATAGTCTTTATAATATTCAAGTAATTTATTTTGTTAGAAACATGGGTAAAATATAATCTAAACTTGATTATATAATAGTGACTGTGTGTTCCAAAAACTACATCTGCATCCGATGCTATTTTTGGATGATTATACTTTATCCAGCAATCATGATTCAGATTGACGGGGAATCGATGAACCAAAACAGCATCTGGACCGCCGTAATGACCCCACTCCAGTTCTTCTTCTTTCTGAGCTTCATGCGTTTCAAGTACCAGTTGTTTCATCCGAGTGATGTTTTATGACATGAGTGTAAACTCAAAGGATAACAATCTCAATAGAGCAATTACATGTCAATATAAGATTAAACAATACAATATTTGATTACATTTAAGATTGAAATCTCATAAATTCATCTCTATTGGTTTATTTGATTCATGCTATAAACATTCTTTATTTACTTCCTTTTAACTAATATGGAACTTATAAAGATTATTGAATGTTATTGAAATTTTGAATTGACCCTAAATAGAACACTCATTAAATAGAAGGAAGGACTGAATAGTTATCTCTTCCAAGTACAAAACTCCTCAGACGTATACACAAATAGCTACACCATATAATATTCTACCTAGGACCTTCGATCTCTGGAATGAATACTATGTATAGATGACTAAGTTAGTATACAATAGTATATACTTGTAACTTCAATCGATTTATAATATTGCAGGATATTATATTGATAATTTTATCGACTTACTTTTAAGTGTTTCATTATTCAACTACTTCAATTATATTTTCTTTACACTGATTTTTTTCTTTGATTATTAGTAAACAATGAATTATATGGTTCATTATTTGTCAAGGCAACTCTTACTATCCCTTGGTTACTTCATCTTTTTTCAAAAAAAAAGAAATTCAATTGACCCATGATCTCAACAATTGAAATTACTAAAATCTCCACAAAACTCTCTTCTCAAAAATTTACTTACTTACGCCTGTTACTCCTCGTGAAGGAGCATAGGCCGCTCACCAGCATTCTCCATCCAACCCTGTCCTGGGCAATCCTTCCTAGCTCCGTCCAGTTGTTATTCATCCTTTTCATATCTGCTTCTATTTACCGACATAATGTGTTCTTTGGCCTTCCTCTTTTCCATTTCCCTTCAGGATTCCAAGTTAGGGCTTGCCTCTTGACACAGTTTGATGATTTGCGTAATTTATGTCCTATCCATTTCCACCGTCTTTTCACAATTTCTTGTTCAGCTGGAAGCTGGTTTGTTATCTCCCAGAGAAGGCTGTTGCTGATGACATCTTGTCAATGGATGTTGAGTATCTTGCGTAGACAGCTATTTATAAATAATTGTACCTTCTTGATGGTGGTTGTTGTAGTTCTCCAAGTTTCAGCTCAGTAATTCTAAAAAATTAATAATACACTTTAATTGATTGATATAAAAAATGGAATTCAATAGATGTTAGTTATTCTGCATATTTGGATAAAAGAAATGACTTTAAATCAGTTTCATATGAAGAATAATGAAATAATTGAACTATTCAATGATTTAAGTGTAAAACTATGGTGGTCTAGTTTCAATTGACTCATGATCTCAACTATTGAAATTACTACAATCTCCACAAAAACCCCTTCTGATGTAATAAATTATGTCATTGATTATGTAATAAAATAAATTGATAAATGAATCTTGTTCTATCGTAGATTTGTATGAATAGTGACAAATACTAACATTGTAGTTTGAATTATCATATTGTATACATTATAATTTTGTGTTATTATACTAAACATGTTTATATGTCTATCAAATAGTTTTATTAATTTTCTTGATTTAACCTTATCAGTTTGTTTAAAAACTAGAATCAAGGTAAACAAAGATAGATGGTGGATAGTAGTAGAATCTAAGAAGCGCGTTTCGTCCTATTTTGGATGTACTTGTATTCTAGAGTTGATGTTCACTCCACTTCTCAAACTTAGAACTCTTCGCTTCAAACAGTATCCACTTAGCTAATGAGACCATATATTCACTAGCCTGTATAATGGAGTGAAGTATAAATTCACTTGGTATTATTTGTTTGTATCTTCTCAGGACCAATGAACTAAGTGGCATTCAAAGCAAAAGGTACTGAGTTTGAGTCCTGGAGTAAACATCAACTCTAGGATGCAGATACATCCAGCTGATGAGTCCCAAATAGAAGGAAATGCGCACTACTGGCCACCATCTATGTTTGCTTATAATGTTGTGACTGAAGTCAATAATGAGGCAATTAGCACAGGATACACATATGCCAGTAATAGACTGATCAGTTACAGTCGTGAATATCAATGGGATAACTTAAACAAAAAATACAAAATGTAGAATCAAGATAGTCCCCCTTTAATTTCATTTTCTTTAAATACATTTATCATTAGTTTACTGAATATTATGAGCTCTAGTGAAGGTTATATTTATATTGTGGTTTTTCTGCATGATTAAAATAATTACTTTGTATTTTGTCACATTTTATTAAAAAAATTGTTCTGATCATAAAAAAAACATAAAAATTAGACATTACATCATTGAATGCCAGGTCAGTGGTCTGCAGCTTAAATGTTCGAGAGCGAGACCGATAGGTCCTGGGTTCAAATCCCGCGAGTGCAAATGTGGTTGTGCACTGCTGAAGAGTCCCATACTAAGACAAAACGGCTATCCAATGCTTCCTGGTTTTCCATGATTGTCTAGCTCATGAGTTCAACTATAAAAATATCTCTTCGAAAGATAATTTCAAACTAGATAAACAACCTATTCATCAACAAGATTGTACCTTCTTTCTAAATCAGTTTTTCCTCTTTATTTACTAAGATTCTTAATACACTGTAGGTATTTTTCTTTCTATTAAGAATCATTCAGTAGTTAGTATTTTTCATTGTTACATAATCTTGTCAATCATATCTATAATTTTACAATCAGAATATGATGAGAATTTACGACATTTACATTTATTTCTATCCATTTACTGATGTCAATCAGTTGTACATCATTGTAGAATTCTAAGTGAAATAGTTAAGAATACTAATTAGTGCTTATTATGAATGATGGTTCATCATCAAGGACAGAATATACTTTGACTATATTGACAGCTATACTGTTCTTTAATTTCTTTTTTTGTTTTGATAAACAGTATGTATTCAGACATTTACATTAGTAGTTTTGGTGAATGATACGTAGTAGTTTTCTCTCTAAACAATCTCATTATTATTTCATTGAAATCAATAATGATTCCATTTCATTTCAATGTTTTGTTTTTGTTCTTGTAATGTCACAGAAAGTATGTATTCATTGGATCGAAATTCAACTAGATCAAGTCATAGGCGATCTTTTAGAGAAAGTCTAGGATTATCAGGTTAGTTTTCTTGCATAAAGTTAATGAAAGTTATTATCGCTATATAATAAACCCTTGTGGGCCAGGGTAGTTTTACAATGATTTCTAGGAGAACCAGACACCATCCAGACTTTATTGTGACAACCCAAACAGTACAACTCAATCCCGCTTCACAGGAGAACCAGACACCGTGTAGACTTTAACGCTACAATTTGAATAGTACAGCTCAATCCTGTGGCGCAACCACACAAGTAACAAGCATCCTGGTGGAACATTCGCACCACTCATATACACATTCACGTCACATGTATAGTTATTCCGATTGATGATCGCGTGAATCAATTGTGCACAACACGAACAGGCTAAAGTTGACCTATTTCGCTTACACCATAGTCAAACTCATTAATGTTAGCTATGAAGACATGTCTTACAATGTCAAAATGACAATGGCCCTTGAGAACACAAGTATGAATGAAATTGGTTAACCAGCAAACCAATTTTATGCATGAACAAGCAGAAAAACTTTCCAAAGCAATGCCGAACCACCGACAATATCAATGGCGAACCTCAAGTCTCATATGAGACTTTCAGCTCAACATAGCCATATAGCTTATACTGCATACAACACCTATGTAGGATAGTAAATGAAATAGTCCAGCCTGAAGAGTTAGGGCTTAAAGAACGCTTAAAACCCATTGTCTGGTGTCGGAATACTATCGCAAGACCACCAAGATCATTTTTATCACATTTGCGAAATTTTCATTTTTCCGACTTCTCAAACCCTGAGTTAGGGGTAGTATTGTGGTGTGTGCTACTTATATCGACATAAGTAGTATATGATGTTAGTCAGGAACAGAATGTCTGGCAACAGAGAGACAAGAGGATCAAACAGTAAAGAATGGAAACAGAATGCAATTTGTGTGAAAGTGCAAGAACAATCAAGTCTGAGTCATTATGAAGAAAATTGATGAACATTTTGCAAATTACGTATTTTATTAACAAGTCCGATAATTGTGTGTCGAATACATTTGATTGTCCCCACTGGTGTTCGTGTTCATTACAGTATCCCTACGTAGTTAATGATGAATTAATGTAAAAAAAATTAACTATATTCCTGAATAAGATTTCCTACAAAATGTAATCTAGGTCACTATGACGAAAAGCCTCAATTGATCTTTTTTTACGATATAAATTCAAGTTATTATCCGAAAACGGTAAAGATTTACCTGAATAATTATGAATTCTCAACATTTTAAATAATGCATTAGCCTCCTGTATAATGTATGATATTTTAGATTTTACATAGTTTGATCACTTGATTGGACTGTAAGAACAACTGATCAGGATGTTTTCGTCATCAGTTGGAAGCCATACATGTTTTTTCTAGAAGTGTATAATAAAAATGAATATTTACAATAGGAAAATCCCCTATATTGTTGTGAAAATTTAAGTTTTTGTAATCCTATGTATCTTCTTTCACCCACGCATATGTAGAAATACATGCATAGTGGGATTATATGATTTGAATAAATGTGGACAATAGCAGTCATGAATTGTAATGAAGATACGTTAAAATTGAGAATCGGAGAAACTCGTAGAATACCTATAAGTTACAAGAAAGACGACATTCAAATCAATTGATAATCAACAGATATAGTGATATAGATCAAACTCAAAAAGAGGAAGTTATTTAGTCACACGATCAGTGGTTAACTGAAAAAGACCGAAGAAGAGTATAGGAACATATGAAAACAACAAAGGTCACTAGACAGCTAACTAGAACGAATTGATTTATTACTCATAGAATAACTTTCAAGATCACTTCTACATGAATGATTACCAGAACGGTGAAAATGATTCCTAATCGGACCTCAAAGACACTAGACTACTAAAATACTAAGAAATCTTATCATCAATATTACGTTAACAGTTGAAAGTTATTGATTGTTATAATTAAAGTTTAAAATCATTCTATTCTTTCTGTATGAACTCAAGTATGATTGCATCGATGTTCTTCCTGGTCTCCTATATTAAGTGAATGCCAGTCAGTTACGAATCTCCCATCAATTGTCCATTACATTCTGTATGATTTTTCCAATTCTCGATTCCTTTCTATTTACCTTTTTGCTTTCTTCAATTCGATCTTCCTAGCCTTCTGTTGCCAGGCGTTCCACTTCTGATTTATGGTACATACTACTTATGTTTGTCGACATAAGTAGCATACACCACAAACATATTTCCATATATACTCTGAGTATTATTCTACTTATCAGAATATATTATATGACAAAGCATTACTTAGTAATACGTGAGCGAAAGTGAAAATGATTTATTGTAAATAAAATAATAACTGTAGTGGCTGGTCCAATGTCGAGCCCATCTAGTTATTTCTAGCTTCCAGACAAGCCAGTTTATGCATTCTTCTCAAGCTACATAACGATAAAATATGACTACTCATTTCTATACTTTTTAAAATTTTAAATTGTTATATATAATTATTTTCTTTATTTAGAAAGATGCAAATGTTACTGGGATCATACACCATATTTACCTGAAGGACACTCTATAATAAACGAAGATGAACGTTCTAGAACTGGCTCAATACGTAGTGGAGACTTTCAACGTTCCAGACCTACTTCATTTTCAAATAATGATGATATACATTTTAAATCTGTATATACAAGAAGTTCTGAAGATTTACGACCTAAAACTATAAATGTCACTACTACTAGTTTACCGAATACAGATGATGCGCACAATTCATTATGTAGTCCAACAGTGATCAATTTAAACTTCATGAATTCAGATGAACGTCCAAGTAAGTTAGATGATTTAGATAATTACGTTGGATTATAAACTTTTCATTATTAATTCTTTTGTATCGATAATATATATATATATATATATATATATATATATATATATATATATATATATATATATATCCCGCCCGCGGGATTCGAATCCTGGACCTATCAGTCTCGCGCGTGAACGCATATCCTCTAGACCATTGAGCCGGCATCTAACGGTGTTAATGTTTAACTTCAACCTATCCACGAAGCCACACCACCGTCTACCATTGTCTTCAGTGAGTTACTATCTCAAAAACGACTTGGTTGTAATCCACTGGGCACTGGTTATTAAACAATATTTTACATTATTCTCATATAATTAAAATAATGAATTTAAATACTTAAAATGAATCATATTGTTTATTTTCGTATTCCTTTGAAACTTGTATTTGAGAAGTTTTTTTATTACTTTTCTCAAGAACAGCTGCTTCTTACTAAAAGTTTTTTTAGGCTATTGCTTTTAGTGAATTGATATTACAGAATTGTTTGATAAGCCGTTTGTTTGGGAGGTTCAGAAAATTCCTCGAAAAAAGCCAAAATGGCTTTGAAAGCTCTGAGGAAACCCGTAATCCAATCAACATTCGATAGAAGTCTTACTAGAAACATCTAAAAGTGAAACGTCATATGTCGCATTTCTGATTGCATGATTGCCTATACTGCTACTATGTTTAGTAGCGTTCCAAAACTTACCGGAAGCCCAAAGTCATCTAAATGCTATAAATACCCTGGATTTTCTGTACATAAACGAACCTCGAAATAAAGCGTTTCTTCCATGTTTCGTACCTTCTCTTTCATGTTCAGATTGCTATGTAGGTTTGGTCTGGGTATTACTAGAAGAGCTTAGGAAACACAATCTAGCGTTCAATTAGAAGATTTATCACTATTAGAAAGTTTAATTGTTTATGATTTTTTCAAGTTTACCTCAATTATCAGAAAACTGTGATTAGGGAATATCTTTTCGTGAAAGAGATCAGCCTCTTAATATCAAATTGAATTTGTTAAATCTTATGTTCAATAGCTATAGGTATATTTGAGGCTTCAGTCTAATCACAAATGTTGCACAGAACTGGCAATAGCATGTCACTAAATATTTGATAGAAAAATATAACTATTGAAAAATAAGAAGCATTGGACAGGTGTTTCATTCTAGTATTCTCATTCGTGACACTGCTGGGGGTCAGCATGTGAAAGTTTTCCGTTCTCCACTGATCCACCTACACTACACTATATATACACTATAATACCCTACACTAGCTTTAAGATGTAATTCCTAGAGTTCTAATGTGAAACCGTTATCATTGGAGTAAGACTATGTTGAGTGTGAGAGAGTTAATCACAGCAAATAACAGATAATTACACAATATCACGAGTCGATTAAAGTTAGACAGATAAATCACTGGATTCCAGTTCAGTGGTCTACAGGTTCATTCCTCATTGGTGAAGATTTGAATGTTCATAACGGATAATTCAGTCTTACATAAGGAAGAAACATCTGTCCGCTACTCTAAGGTTTTTGATTATGTTCCGTGATGAATCAACAATCTAAACTATGAATATTAATAGTGTTGCAAATGATATATTTACCGTATATTTAAGACATTTACAGACAAGTGATAGCTTATGATCTTTGATAAACTAGATAATAATAGTTAAATTATCATGAAATATCTCTTCCAAATAAATTCAAGATGTTTTAATGGAGGTTTAAGTGAAGTGATTTTCTGAGTAGATCATAGCATTATTAGTCCATAAAGAATTCTAAATTTATGTCGAACATATGATAGACATTACAACCAAACTTCTGATATCGTCAGTTTAATTTCATACATTTAAACACAACTTGTGTGTTTAACCTAGCTCTCCTGTTAAACCGGACTGAGGTGCACTGTTTGGGTTGTTACGTGAAAGTCTATATGATGTCTGGTTCTCCTGGAAACCAATGTAAAATTACCCTGGCCCACAAGGGGGTATATTACATAACTGTAACTTTGAAAAAGACGTTCATTTATCATATTATGCTGAAAAGTTCTTTGTTCATCAACACTTAGTGGATAAGTCTAATTAAATACGTATGTTACATACATTATAAATAAATGAATATATATATATAGTAAGAAAGTGATTCACACGTATTTTTGTTTTTTGTTTTGCTTACAGCAATAGGTATGTATTTGACATAGTTTTCTTTTAACTGAATATATATACTACTAACTATATTACAGTAACTAATTTACATTATGAATAAATAATTCAGTGGTAATGAAACTTGATATTTTAATTAGCTTTATACATAACACATATATATTGAGTTAGTTTTCTACGTGATGGGGTCGCTAACCCCATGCCAAAACCACCTCCTTTATCCACGCTTGGAACAGGTAGTAGCCTCAGAGGGGCTCAGGGCAGAGTTATGAAAACTGGTACAACTTAATGCCCTAGTACGGCCGCGGGTGGAGAGAGTCAGCTCTCCATCTCCAAATGCTATCACATGGTCACGAGTATACAGCCTCTACCAGGGAAGTCCTACTCACTGCATTTTCGCGGCATTACTGTTGCTTACGAAACTGAGGGGACGAAAAATGAATGTCCGACGCTGTAACCGGCTTGGTGGACTCGAAGGGTCCACCTAAGTGAGTTGGTGGTGAACATGAGCTCCAGGATCCTTAAGGAACAAATGACGTATGAATAAATCGTTGGTCACTAGCTACTATGGGACTGCATGTCCTAATATTACTCCACTGCGTTGTGGATTAGACCTTAAGGTCAAATGCTCCTGTTGTGACTCTCTAAGAAAACCACCTACTTCGGTCTGGACACCCGAGCAGTATCACAGCCCACACACAAATCAAGTGACTTATGTGGCGCATATGTATTCGGTGCCTCTTTGTACCAGTATTTATGTGTTCAAATAAGTAAATAAATAAATAAGAAAATAAATCTAAAATTTGACAATCACTATGCGAAATCGAGGTTTATTGAGAAAACTGACTTTAAGCTACAAAAATAAATATGAAGTAAATTTTTTTCTGGAAAATATCTACAGCATATATGTTAGCTTTATGTAATATGTTCAATTAAAGACTTCTCTTTTACATAAAAGCTACTTTGTACAAAAACATTCAAGGGTATTGTATCATGTTGAATTAAAATTAATAATATTCAAATCGTTGAACTCAAACTTCCATACTTTCTTCATTTAATTTACTTTTACAGTTACGAATGCAAAACCATCAGGTATATTTTTAGCCGATTTGTTCATGTATATATATGTTCTGCATTCAAGTATTCTGTATTACATCTTACTTGTAAGACATCTTAGATCTATGTACAAATTGATGTAATAATCAGTAGATTTCAGGGTATTTATAGAATATCTTATTGAGTTGAGCTAAATAGTATTGAATAAACTTATCTATTATAGCCTGAAACAACGTTATTTTCATTGATATAATTATGTAAGATATTTTAATCAATTCTACAGATGACTTTTCGGGTTCTAATCGTGTGTCTATCAGAACATCAATGAGACGACCAACAAGAAGTTCAACACCAGTGTGTAGTAAGTTTATAAATAATTAACATAATAATTGTACTATATGAAATATACAATGATGTTTTGGTGATCTAACTTGTGTCCGGTAATACTGTTAAATCATCCATTACCTTTTTATTTTATTAAATACACTTATTAAACGTAAAAAGTTAGTTATGAATGTGATGCAATGGTGAGAAGTGGAACAAACGGTTGGCTTTTGTTGTGCCCTGTGTGATCGGATCGTTATTACATCAGTCATTGTATTCTTTGTCTAGTTCAATCATAACTTAGCTTGGTTATATTACCTGTAGAACTGATGACCGACTGTTTACCGAATGACATAGCTATCAATGAACAACTATACGAGGACATTAATTATTATTGGTCCTTAAGCTTCCTCCGAACGCAATCGGAAAATGAAGACAGGGACCAGATGAATTCTCTGTTATGCTCTATTCACTCATGAGTGACTAGCAGTGGCAACCAAGACGTATGCTCTTCCCTAATTCGAACTTATCAGTTAAATGTATCTACACTTTAAATTTAATGTTTACATTAATATTAGAACACATATTCAGCAGCTAAGTGAAAACCACTTTGAGGATTTAAGGTGGCAGGTATTAGATTTACATTCTAGTTTGAAAATCAAAGCCGATTCCAAATACATCTACCCGACGTGTTTGAAATAGTATAAAACACACGTCCTGAACTCTAAAAATAATAACTATTAGAAGTTTTCCTAAATATGCTTATAACTTAATAGCACTGTCAAAACAATCTACTAATGATACGAAAAAATCCAATCCATAAAATCAACAACAACAACAACAACAACAATAATGAACTTCCTTTTATTATAAATGAAGTTAAAAGTTACTGGCTCAATGAAATTGTGTTCATTGGATGTATTCTGGTATGAGCTAAACTTATCTAACAATACCAAAATATTCTTGTTCAAATCTTTGTTGTTTGATTACCTTCTGTGAAATTATTCATCAGTAGTAATTTAAAGTCTTGTTTTCTTGCCTATAATTTCATAGATGGACACTCATTTGAAAGAGAGAGCAGTATTTCTTCAAGTAAGTAGATTTCATATTATATTAGGAATATGAAATCTGTCATTTTAATATAGAATTAAAATGAACCAGGACATTTTCAACGTTTATATTTATCTATTCACCAACTGTAATTTTGTTATACAGACAATATTTATTAAACAGAATTATATTTTGCTTAAAACTTTATCATTGTTAAGTCTATCGAATTGTCCAGTTCACCTAATTGAGATATGAGCAAAATCGAAGTTCACAAAATATCGATTTGTCTAAAATAGAGGTTCTTTATTGAATAATATACAAAACATTAGTAACAAACCTCAACTTGTGAGGTGTCTACGGAGTTTACAGCATCGGTTTGTCTGAAACTGTTGTGGATGCGGAAGAATAGACCAATAATTATCATGTTAAGTCCAGTGGTGTCCTTGGACTTTAAATGGACATTCCCTATTGGTCGATATCTGTTCACTTGTTGAATATTGTACAAAATGTTGTTTTCTATTTTTATGGTACGCTGTGGTATGCTTGACTAGTATATAAACAAAGTATGTTTGAAATATAGTGATTCATATCTCCGAGGCTGTGACTTGTGTTCTGGACTCAACTAACTGGGCTAGACGGGGAAGCGAGACCAATAGAGACTCTAGGCCGTCCGTACGTGTTTACGTGTCATCGAATCGATCGATAAGTACGCTGCTCTCTAATTCTCCGGTCAAGGACACAACAATTAGCACAGGGTAAAAATCGACCCGCAACTTAAATTCATAACAGAAACAAAAAGAGGGCTTCCTGTAATAGTAACATAAAGAATAATTACAACATATTATTATTATTATTATTATTATTATTATTATTCGTACTATTGGTTAAATATCATTAATCTCCCCTTTACATGATTCATTCACTTCGCATTCATTCCTCCGTATTACGTCTTACTTATTTGATCGAATTGTAATTGCACTATTATTTCTCTCTCACCCTATTTGACCCATATTTATTCTGATCATGGATCTTAAAATTTCATTTAACATATACGCAGATTCAAGTTAACATTTTATATGAGTCATATTAACATTAACAATTTCATTGTATTTTGTTTATCACAATCCTAAATTCACATGCTCTAAACGATGTACTTTACCCTTAACTTGGCCATTTTTCGGATTAATAATTTGGATATATAACTGTAGAACCTGAAGAGAATTTATCGAAAAGAATATTCTTCGTTCAAATATTAGTCTTTTAATATGATAGTGCAAAAGACAGCTATTGGCTGTGTCTAAACTTGGTAACAGTTTATCAACAAGCAGAAACCGAACCAATAGAGAACAATATGAAACGAGGGTTAAACAAATACACAACTTGTGAATAACTGCTACAATGATTGCGATAGAGTAATTATAATGATGTATATAAATGTTATATGTAGATATTTCAGGCTAGCGTCACAACATAAGCATAAAAATTGCTAGCAATACAACTATTTACTGAATATTAATAAGTAGTATAAAATGAAGCACGAAAGAGTCGAAGGGAAGTGATTAAGGACAGAGAACGTAAATTAGACTTAACAACCATGAATACGTATAGTTTACAGACTGATTATAATTTACCTAACCTGAATATTTGACAGATTATTATTATAAAACGATGAATTATTTATGTTTTCAAAGTTGAATTTACGAGTCCATCCAAGCTAGAACATCACTGAAAACCTGGAAGCACTAGACAACTGTTTCGTCCTAGTATGGAACTCATCAGCAGTGTGTATTCACGATTCCGCACATAGAACTTGAACTATAGATATTATATTTATTTTTTTAGAAATTATAAATTACATCATGTATGCAAAAATATTTATTAATCATTAACATCCATTGATTACTACTTGCTTTACATATGATTTGTTTATTTTACAGGTGGAAGTAAGTTCATTTGGTTGGCTTATAACATATATATTCAATAATCCGATGATATATACTACTGATTATTTTACGTTACTTTAAATGTCACTAATCTACCATTAAAATTAAAATTTAATTTATAAAACTATCAACAATTAAAACTAACATACATTCTATGTTTCACTCGATTGTTTGACTCAAGTCCCTTCAATGGAAGTAATCAAATATTACAATTATTGAATATAAATATTATGGTTTACAAATGAATTGTGTACTAACCAAATAGTTGAATAGTATTAATTCAATGCTGAATGTGAAGCATGTTGTTAGTGTGTGTATAAGTGTGAATTGTAGAAGAAATTAAGATAACAGCTGTATGTATATATAATGTTGATCTAATGTTAGGAAAAATTGCTTACCATTTATGACCTTAATTTATGGTGTAGTGAACAAGAACACAGGCTGGGACGACCAAAAACATTTTGATACATTACAGAATATCTTGATAAAATCTGACAACCATAATGTAAATACTTCAGTTGCAAAATATCTATCAATTGTTTTAAGACTTTACTGTTCCTTCGATTTCATACTAATCACTCTTTGTTCTCGTTCTATTCTCATTGATTTTCTCAACCTTCTACCTCCAGACATGCTATCTTCGATTGATGACATATACTACTTATATCTGCCGACATCAGTAGACATCAGTAAAGTATGATAAGTCGTTGAGGCTGAACAAACAGCCACAGTTTACGAACTATTAAATATGTTATTTTACTTCTTATAGTTGATTTCTATCCTGGACTCACTATATTGAATAAAGTATTCTTTAGTGTTAGTCTGGTTCTCTATTTTGGGTCGCGAATCCTGATTCTGATATAAAGTGATAAGTCACATCAACTTATTAACGTGTCATTGCATAATACGTGTAAGAGAGGAAAAATATTACAAACCATACGTTGAATCAAAACTATACTATTTATATTCAATAAGTGTAATATTTGATTATTCCCACTGAAGGAACCATCGAATAATACTTGGTTAATTGAAATGCACACGATTAGTTGGTGTTTCGCATAAATGTACTATTCATAGGAATGTTTAACTTAATCTCATTTAACTAGTTAAAGTATGATAATGTTACTATACAATAACTTTTTTTCTGTTTCAGGAGCAAACTATCTAAGTAAGCTGCAAAATTTTGAAATTCCTGTATATATATCCATTGAAAAAAAAGATGCCACAAGTAAAACTAAGCATTTATCAGGCATTACAGTAAATAATACCAAGATGAACCCGAATTCGAATCCCACCTATGGGATCATGGATGCTCACTGTTGGCGAATCCTATACTAGGATGAAATGGACATCCAGTACTTCTAGGTTTTCAATGGTAGTCAAACACTGATTCATTCATGATCTTAATCAAAACTCAACAATTTCCATGACCATATACTGATGAATAAAACAACACAAGGTGTAGAATTGTCTGTTAAAGTTTTTTATCTATTGGCTGACTGTTTAGATTGAAGATTGAAGAGATGTAGTTGGATTTAGAAGTCCCCTACAAACCGAAAATATAACCTCACAGTAATTCTGAGTCAATATTACTAATTTCTAATAATATACTTATTAATCACGGATAATATAGGTTTAAAATTATATTGCGGGATGAAAGAGATATCACCAATTATATCTGTAAATGGTGAAAGAATTTTAAAGGATGGATATTGGGAAATAAGTTGATTTATGATCTTACCGGGGGAGATATTTTGTTGGGGGAGCTTTTTAACAGTACACCGAAATGTTTCTGAAAGTCACTGGCACATACACGAGTGGCTCTTAAGCAATTTAAGTTATGCAATAAATAATGGATGTCATTTTAGTAAAATCTCAAGTACCTTAAGTAAAAGGTTTAATACAATAAAGTATTACCACAGTTGAAAGCTACTGATTAGAATGAACATGAAGAAATGTAACGTTAATACAAGTCGCATCAAGCCTTTGATTGCTTTGTGATGTTCTAGGCACCGTAAATACTAGAGGTTCGAATGACTACAATTCACGTAAGTGCAAATACTAGCATCATTACAACAGAATAAATCATAAACACTAATTTGGTCTAATCACAATTATCACTATCCTAATATCATTTAAATATTCAATTTAATCCCAATTTAGAAGACGAACAACGTACGTTCAAAATCATCACAATATTACACATATTCTTGTTATAAACTTTCTAATACATTCAGAACCACTCAACTACTAGTCAAACTTCACAAATTTACAAATGTTTAACTAAGTGAAGTTTCCACATGTATCATACACTTCAATTGCACAAGTGTTTATTATTGTGACATTGCACACTGTGAGTAGTCAGATATGTGAATCGCATATATTTCTAATCAAACACATCGTGTACTGTTGGTCACTGGTTGTTGTAATTAAGGTGCACCAGATAATTCGCGTTTCAGATTGATGTGTAAACTGAATGACTTTATTGAGGAGTATTTGAATACTTTGCAGAATAGATGGATATGAATGAAATAAGAAAGGTTATGTTGATTGATGAAACCTCGATATGTTGCTGATTGTGTAGTGGTTGACGACCAGCTCATTTGTCAGATGACAAGTGATGATAGGTCACGGAAATTCACATCGACTGACAATGTCATTCGAATCCCATTAAACGTTCATGTGATGATGATGATGATGATGATGATGATGATGATGATGATGATGATGATGATGATGATGATGATGATGATGATGATGATGATGATGATGATGATGATGATGATGATGATGATGATGATGATGATGATGATGATGATGATGATGATGATGATGATGATGATGATGATGATGATGATGATGATGATGATGATGATGATGATGATGATGATGATGATGATGATGATGATGATGATGATGATGATGATGATGATGATGATGATGATGATGATGATGATGATGATGATGATGATGATGATGATGATGATGATGATGATGATGATGATGATGATGATGATGATGATGATGATGATGATGATGATGATGATGATGATGATGATGATGATGATGATGATGATGATGATGATGATGATGATGATGATGATGATGATGATGATGTGATGATGATGATGATGATGATGATGATGATGATGATGATGATGATGATGATGATGATGATGATGATGATGATGATGATGATGATGATGATGATGATGATGATGATGATGATGATGATGATGATGATGATGATGATGATGATGATGATGATGATGATGATGATGATGATGATGATGAGATGATGATGATGATGATGATGATGATGATGATGATGATGATGATGATGATGATGATGATGATGATGATGATGATGATGATGATGATGATGATGATGATGATGATGATGATGATGATGATGATGATGATGATGATGATGATGATGATGATGATGATGATGATGATGATGATGATGATGATGATGATGATGATGATGATGATGATGATGATGATGATGATGATGATGATGATGATGATGATGATGATGATGATGATGATGATGATGATGATGATGATGATGATGATGACAAGTGACTGTACATTTGGAATTGTGTTCTAGTGTGAGAATGAAATCATTCAAATTGGTGATAAGAGTGAAATCCATGTTTATAATTGACGAACAATGCATAATTTACACCAATCTCAATCACATCATACAAGTAAATAATAGTTGTACAACTACTCAAATATCTGATGTGATTTCTTGTTTCGATTTGTTTTTCACAGATGGAAGTAAGTTCATTTTGTCTGTTATATACCTACTAATATATACCTATATATATATATTATATTATATATATATATATATATATATATATATATATATATATATTGTGATGAGTAGTATGGAGGAAACAATGTGTGTGCGTGTGTGCGCTGCACAATGGAAAGTGATCACATATACAATTGATCGAGTTGATGAGCTTTTCTCCTCAATGTGAATGGAATGCAATTTGTGGAGTAAGATGAATGTGGTGTAATTCCATTCACCTGATCTGTCATATGTCAGCCAGATCATCACATTGAACAGATGGAAACAAATTTCACACTTGAAATGAATACCATAAATTGGAAATTGATGTTTTCACTCAGCATGCGTTTCCATGCATTCCAATTTTCTATGTTACATTTCAGTATGTCAATTATTGTGATTATATACAGATTGACTGTCATTAACGACGCCATCAATACATATTTGTTAGTTAGTTTTGTTGAAATTGTTCACGATTGACACATAATGTGTGTATTGTGAACAGAATTAATCATGAGAATGTTGAAGGGATTGAGCGTGAGCCAATCGTGTTTTTTGTTTAAGTATTGTGATTCCACCAAGTATAATGAGCTGAATGTATGACGTTGTGATGACTAACTGCTGTAGAATTCGATTGAAGATGAATACAGTATTGTTCAGGAAATGAATAGGTACTTGTTGAATAAAACACAAGTTAACACTTTTTCTAAATGCAGGAGGAAGTACTTCATCGAATACTATGGAAATTGTGTTAATTTATTCGTCTGTTTAATTATTAAGATTCTTGAATGGGCACTCCTAAGGAGTTCTATACTAATCAATGATTAGTGGTTGTAAGTAGTAAGCTATCTAAGATCTGTTGTTGATTTAGACGATGGAGATTCTTCACCTCACATCAAGATTTCAATCTCTTTTCAAACGTCTTCTAAATTCATTATTACACTTTATTTCCACTCACTGAAACCACAAATTTATTAACAGTTGGCTAATACAAATTCACCATTGTTCCAAAAAAGTTTTGTTTTGTAAAATATACAAATCATCACAATCATTATTCATAATATTTTTTCGATAGATTGTTAGTCGGTAAAGACATGACATAGAACGATATACGCATATCATTACATAGAAAGTAATTGCAAGTCAAACAGTTTATCTGATGTATCATTCTGTTTGGGTTTTATCAAAGACCCTGAAGTATAACTGAGTACACGTAATGATTTCATATGATATGAAGGTAGATTATTTACCTTGTTTTGATCAAAAATGTTTCATTCCTGTTAGTGTGATGAAATTTAACTATTCTCTTAAAAGGGGATTAGATATTGTTATAAAAGTTAGACGTTATTTGTTTAATTAAGAAGGATATAATAAGAATATTATATCGTGGATGCACACTACTGAGGAAACCCGCAATAGGACAAAACAGCCATCCAGTGCTTCTAGGTTTGCCACGGTGATTTCAAGTAATGAACTATTTTATCTTTTAATTAGTACATTATCATTTAATTGATATTCAATAGTTATAGAATATGATATAATACGTTTAATTTATCTTATTTGAATTTCAGGAGCTAGTTATATAAGTAAGTTCAAGTGGTGTGTTATTTATTATAGTGGTGATAATTACCATAAGACACAAATGTACAATGTTTTCAGTTAGAAAGCGAATAAAGAATAACATAACATTTAAAGAATTTTAAAGATTTCCATTATGAAAATTAGAACAACACATATAAGCGAACAATTGTTTTCAATTAGATCGTCATCAGGCTTTACTCTAATATACATGAATATTTATACGAAAATGTAAACCAATCAAGGCAATATGAGTCAATAATCACAATGAAATAGAACAAGTCCCTACACATAATAGGTAAAAGTACAAGTTTATAGTAGGAAGACAGGTGAATTGATAATAGTAAGAATAATAAACTACAATAACAAAACTCTTATCAATAGTTAAACGTTGGGAATGGAAGGTCAAACAAACATGGGTAAATAGACTAGGAATAGTAATCACAAAACATTAAAATCATTACGTAATAAGATGTGTGTAAATAATTAGATAGTGAGGAATACAAAGAGGCGGAAAATTACAAACAAATAATGGATGTGGAAATAAGGTTAACGATAACACAAATAGGATAAAATAAATAATGATAATAAAATTTTTAAAAAAATGTTAGTTAAGTTATAACTGACCATGGAAGGGATAAGGGGGTCACGTATTTCTTCTGTACACATAAATTGGGGTTGTTTGTACGAATTCCTATGGCTCCAGCTATATGTAGGAGGCGGGAACGAACTCCGTTGGGAAATGGTGAAGCTATACGATAGATCACTCGAAATGCTTCCGATTTATCTACAGTATGAATACTATCAATAAGATGATTGATTGGTTCGTATAAATATTCATGTATATTGGAGTAAAGCCTGATGACGATCTAATTGAAAACAATTGTTCGCTTATATGTGTTGTTCTAATTTAAAGAATTGTCATTTGAACATAATCAAAAGCTCCATTTATTAACTACGAATTAGTAGTATCGTATATTGATTCGATTCTAATTGAAAGTGAAGTAAATAGAGTTTAATATCCTACTGAAATGATCCCTGTTACATAGAATAGTTAAGTGTTTGTAAGATAACCAATGAAGATCTGGAAGTTATTATTCTCTTATACATGAGAGATAATTAGTGTTAAATAAACAAAACTTTCATTTTAACCATACATTAATATTGGAGTTACTATTATCTATCTTTTAAGCTGACTATATAAATGTCAATTACTTGTCATCCATAAAGTTGAACTTTAATTTGTAAATGTTGTTATCTGTTAGTTCAATGTAACTCTATGTAATTGATTTTTTCTCCTATTCAGAAAATGATCAATGTATGTTGGAATTTTAAGAGTCATTATCATCCTCACCTTATTAACATTTTCATTATCTTGAATTCAAATTAATTTTAGCAGTTTTAAATATTTGCTGTGTTCAAAATTAGATTGCTTACGTGTTTTATGCATGGCCACTACGTTCTAGTATTGGACTCTCCAACAGTGTGCACCCACGACCCCATCTCGCGGGATTCGAACCCACGATCTACCAGCTTCGAGTACGAACGGTTAAACTCTAGACCACTGAGCCGGCATCCAGCAGTGTTAACGTCTAACTTCCTTCGATCCATGATTTTATTCAACCATTCATCCATTGTCTTAGGTAGATACCTTTCTCTACCGAAACGGGTTAGACTCCACTAGTCACGGCTTCTCACTAGAACTCCATTGAATGATCTTGGAACCATCACTAATGAGCACATGATGATTATGATCAGAGTGGGGTTTGCATGCATAATAGTGTATTATCGTTACTATTTATCATAGTACTTAGATAAAGAAGTTTCTTCATTCTGTAAAAGCGAATAATGGTTCTTAAAGAAAACACATAATAACGAACATATTACTATATGAAATGTTTCATCAGTAGTAGTTTAATATTTTATCAAAAACTAGACTGAGATTCGTATCGCACATGAAATTGTATCAATGTTAAAAGGGATTGTACATTAAATTATTTATTTTCTGGAATAAGAAATTATGCATAATAAAAGTTTATAACTGAATTATCATTCCTTCGAATTATAAATTGTAAAAGCTTTAGAAGTATAAAAATTCAGTAAAATAGAATGATTGAGATCATGAAGCGATTGACGTTAACCACCATTGAAAACCTGCAAGCACTGGATGGCCGTTTCATTCTATTGTGGGACTCCTCAACAGTGAGCATCTACAGTCTAACAACAATCAGTTCATGATCTCAATCAAAAACTTAGTAATCTCCATAAACTCATACTGAAAATAGAATGAATTAAATGAATTTGTATAAAAACCTAATTCCATAAATAATCATGAGGTCTTTGTTTCATTTGTTTGTTTTGCTACAGACGGAAGTAAGTTCAATCGTTCTGTTGGTTTTTTAAAATATTTGTAAATTATTCGCTGTTTAAATTCACTTGGTTTTGTTAACTTGAATCGTTTCATTGATGTTCAAGAATGCAATTTATCAGTCTGTTATTGGCATATTTGCATACTGTGCATATTGCTCGATATTGCCTTAATTCACAAGCATTCTGAACAAAGATGGATAGTTTCTAGAAGTGGAATCCAGTTCGCGCGTTTCGTCCCATTTGGAACTCGTCGGCTGGACGTACCTGTATCTCGGAGTTGATGTTCACTCTCGGACTCGAACCTAGTACCATTCGCTTCAAACGCCATCACATTAACCACTGAGCTACTGAGTCTTTATAGCCAATTGCTTGCGCAATGGGGGTGACGAGTCCCAAATAGGACGAAACGCGTATCACTTATTCTACTGCTATCCACTACCATCTTTGCTTATTTCCTAATTGTTATGTAGCCTATTGTGAACATTTTGTCGTTGGTATGGTGAATTATACGATACAATGAATAAATTACAACACAAATGATCGTCACTTATGCAACAAATCCTATTGACAAACATTTTCAGTGTACTAAAATTATAAAGACTTTGTCCGATACCCGATTGATTTCAGCTTAAATTCCTTCATTTTCGGAGTAATAAATACAAATTTGTTATAGTACAAGAAGAATTTTGCCAAAGTTTAATTCCATGTCTTTACATTATACTACCGATATGTGAAATAGTTATGTCACCATATATAATCAGTTCAAATGATTTTGTTAGATACGCTCAAAGCCTAACGATTGTTTGCATTTGTAAATTAGTTTATCAAATCTTTCTATTATTAATGGAGGCTATAGACTC